TTGCACATGTATGCTTTGATAACCGTCAGGAATTTTTCATTTACTTGTATCTTTAAGACCTTGTGTGGCAAGTTTATCCATCAGCTGTTGATGTCCATTACTGAAATCATGATAGTGGGAACAAACCATAGGAACACTGAATCAGCTGCCACTTAGCTCTCACCCGAACACCATCGGTTCTATTATTTAAAAATCACGGGGATGAAATAATCATGCTTACAGTAGGGGTTATTGGAAAGCTGCCCTTGTTAGTTACATTGTCAGTAAACACATAGGAAAGCGACTAAGACAGAATAGTGGTCTTTATATCCTTGTCTGGTGGATATATCCGATGGACTGAAATTTTCATCTCTCTTGAGGGATCGTTCTCAAATTTGACACATACTTTTTCCATAACGCTTAATTGTGTATGATCACACAGAATGACCGACAGTCGGTCATTTCGGATTTGGAAAGTTTTTACTCGCCTTTTCATAGAATTGTCTCCATGGTTGAGTTACTTTATTAATTGTTATTGATGTGCGATTCTAACAACGAGTTATATCAAATAAGCACAGCTCGTCATCTTGGATGTTGTCCGGACGGTACAGTGGATGTACAAAAAATTCTGTCTGGTGCAGGCGGACCCTTCGCGAGCTTCAGGAACAAGCGATGTATACCAATCGGTTTTGTTTCAGATTTATTGTAAGATAACATGCTTATGGAGTATTATATAAATAGTTCTCAGAAAACATCTTGTCCAATTTTCAAATCTAGTCTTCCTGTGGTCCAGACTGATCGGAAACACTAGCAGACATGCAGTCACCTTAGATTTTCATCAATTCATTTGTTATTGCTTTTTCACCATAAAATACAGATGGCGTGTTGTATTTCCTAAATTTCTCATGTGAGATTCTCCTTTTTATTCTAGTTAGGAATAATCCTTACTGCTCAGTAACATGAATTGACTGATATCTGTCCTTTTTATGATTTTGAAAGTTTATGTTTCCTACCTCTGGATTTCTCTAAGTATCGGAATGTTTCATATTTCAGATGTCGGTGTCACCTTAGTCGTTCTTTTTATTATGTCTAAACTTTACACTCTTTTGGAGGAATATTATATGGCAAACATTTTGTATTTTGACGAGTTTCGATTTAGATAACTGTTTTACAGAAGTACTGGAGAAATCTTTAACCGTTATTCCCGATAATATACAGGTGACTATCTTCGATTAAGTTTTGTTATCTATAGGTCTCTCGAAGTACTAGATAGTATGTGTTCCTTAGATTTATAGATTTGAATCAAGATATTCTGCTGAAGTGTTGGTAATTTTTATTTCTAATTTTACGTCATTTAGATCAAAACGTCACCCATAAAGTCTTGCCTAGCAACTTAATGAACCATTGACTATTATTTGGGAGTCAGAATATGTTCATATGTATCATGAAGAACCCGCCCTTTATTATCAATGTTATCAAACTCGTCAAGGCGAGCAGCATGCGTGCCTGGATCCAACTCCCAGTTGGTGTTAGGCATGCTAATTAAACAACGTTAGGAAACGTTAATGTTAATATTTAGAAACCCGTTTCTTTTAAATGTTTCTTTGGAGACATCAATTTGAATATTTGAAAATAATCACAACAGTACTAGGTATTACGATGCACTACAAGTTATGTCATCATCGATTTATCTAAAACGGAAAAGTCTTTGTAGCCTGTTTTTACAAGGTTTTCCATAGTTCAACGTATAAGAAAAGGCGTACGAAGACATCGACAGCCAAACTTGCAATAAGTTCGGCATTTTTATGTTCCGTAAATATCTTTGCCTTTGACGTATTCTTCGCCGCTAAGCTCCTACGTAGTTCACAAGCATACTACACTACATTACTAGAGAATGAAGGCGTACTTTCATTTTGATTGGAGATTAGTAGTGTACAGAGTGGAAAAATCAAATGGTCTTGCATAAAAGAGTTGTTTTTAGGAGAGGATGGCCACGATTGTTGAAAAGCTCCTTGAAGTTATTTAAAATCCACAGTAAACTGTATGGCAATTAGGCCTAAAGTGTAACACTGTTTGATCGTGCTGTGAGTGTTGGTAAGACGCTTTAATAAAGGGTTGGTTGAATATACATACAACATATTAATGATGGCGATCGGAGAGTGTTTACATGCTCTCTCAATATTATCAAAGGCCTGTGTGAAATTATTGATAACATAACCAGCTTTTGTAAATATTAAGTAATGCCTACAGTGAAGAGACCTCAAAACAAGGTTTGGCAGTCAATTTAGGTATGACTTGCCTTAAAACCTGATAAATGGCATCATAGATGGAGCTTTTCTCAGATTTTGGAAATCAGTCTACAAGGATAGTGTCAAATCACCACCAGGGTGATTCATTCCGGCCTTGATAAGACGCAAGGAACGAGGCCGCTTTTAGTACTATACGCACCTGTACTTTTTGTTGCAGTGAGCCTGGGCGTCCTCGATTTAGCACATTGTATATAAACCAAATACCGGGGTTGTCTCTATACTCAGTATATAAAACAATTTTTATCATTATTATCTGACAGTCATTATTTCATTACCCTTTCTTCACATCTTTGTTATTTGACTGAATACTTATAGCATTTTCTTTATGTGATGAAGCACAACTTGATGCCGAGGAATACTTCTCGCTGCGAGCGTGTCACTGTGTTCTCTGCTCTCCCATCGCGATATGTAAATACTGTTAACAATATCAATACACATATATATCGGTAAAAACGTGGAACGAATAAAATACTTTAAAAAGTTATTACCTGTTTATTCGCCAGTTTAAGACTAAAACTTTTATATTAGAGAAAGGTGTATGAAGAACCATAAATACGAAACAAGTATATGTGCTATCGGATAAAGCTCTCGTAAATCAAGAACTGAACACGTTTACGTTGAAATTGAAATCCGGGTCATCGTGCGGTTATCACATCTGCTAGGCTGAGGATGATATAAACAACCACGTGCTGGCATCTACACTGTCTGTCTAACAAACTACGGAACGGCAAAAGGGCCGATACGATTGGAACACATTACGGGCGTTACACTATTAGTTTACCTGTTTTGTTTTTAAAATGACATCAAGTAGAAAAAAAAAGGAAGAAAAACTGCATTATATTATTGTTTTCATTTGTAAACTTGTTTTTTTAGTTTTGGTGTACTACTAGATGTTATGAACGAAAAAGTAGGTCTCGTTATATTGTATTGTTGGAAAAACAGAACTTTCATTATCGTGTTAAACACTTCAATGAAACCCATGTCGGATTCTGTTTCTCTGAAGCTCCGGGAAAATATAAAAATATGAAAGCTCCATTATCTAGGAGATTCAGATAATTTTACAAGTACCGGTATGACATTTTCTTAATTCAAATTCAGTGAAACTAGATAAGATACTGTTTGTGAAATGTACATCTTTTGTCCAGTGATCATACCACTGGTAGGATATGCCCTAAAACTGTTTTTATCGGCTGATGGTGACGTCATAATGTGGACAATGATGTTACGTCATGAATTTAAAATGTTACACTGTTGTGAGATGATACGAATTATCTCAAATTTGTTTTCATTTTATTTGAAACTCGTTTCGAAAAGTTTAAATTTTATTCGCCAAAGTTCGCAAAAAATAAACGCTAAGACTCATTTCATAATATCTCGTATTAGTCAAAGTTTAGTATTTAAAACACAATATAAATCAGCTCGGTATCAGTTCGGTATAAAATTCATCTGCAAATAATTCTGATCACTTTACTGGTACCCCTTTCACTAGCAACCAACAACTATTCCAATTTTTATATCTGATTGGTGATTCTCACATGAGCAAATAATGAATATACATCAGCTCCTTATTTTACGTCTCAAAGAAAATTGTTCATTTTTTTTTGATAATATTGAGAGCACTGTTCTTTTGCTGAAGTGAAACTTCATGTAGTTAATGTCCTTATTCAGGAGTTACCATACTACAAAAAATGTTTGATCGCAAACGAATCGAATAAATAACAATAGAAAGGAAATTCTTGTATAGGATTTTGTAACATTGGACACATTAGTCGCCTCGTGTAATTATAGAGTGCTATACAGTAAGTAGCCAAGGCAATTAATTTTAATACATCTAACAGATTATATGTCTTTTTTTTACATAGATGGTAAGAATTGCCGATATGGCGCACCATAGGAAGGTCTAGATGTAAGTTCAACAAACGCTGAATCTGTGATGCAGTGAAGGGATGTTTGTGTTACCTGGCCGATAAATAAGGAAGTTGATATGTTATAGACAATAAAGTGCTGAAATGGGAATACATGTCGAACCTTCTAGGTACCACGAAGGATGATGCACAAGGGCATACATATGTACCTAAGTAAACCTATTACGTTAAAAAATATGTGTTTCCATATCCTGAGATTGTCTTGCAACGGAAAATGAGCAAAACATTATCAATTTGATATCAGACACTGTGTATGATTTCTATAAAACAGGGAGTTTAAGAAATTATCGTGTTTATGGGAGTTCGGGATTGTCATACCGACGTGCAGAAAAGACGAAGGTGTGTTAAGGGAGCCGACGTAATGATAATTAGGAATGTGGTTAAACTAAGTGCAATAAACAGCTGAGAATAAATATCAAAAGTACATATCGTGTTTGTCGGATTTATATACGTATATTCAAAATAAGTGTGTAGGTGGAAATAACATTATTTTCACCAGTGGATCGTATGTATTACGCCATAAGGATTTGTCAGTTTCTCAGTATCGGAACAGTGTGTTGTATAAAGTAGAGGAAAAGTGATGTATATTCTACTAGAGGAGAGAGATTGAAAGTTAAAGACAGGATATTTTTGTTACGTTCTTGTGCCTTTCAGATCGTTAAATAATGACGTAATTTCAGGAATCGATAACATTAACCAGACATCGCTTCCGCTTTAGTTGCAGTGGTGGTTGTTGAGGCAATCTATTGTGAATCATAAAAGATACTTGTACAATTCACACGAAACCATGGAGTTATTGTTGGTGAACATTGTTTTAACACTTGTTGGGATTGGAACGGCTGAGTAAGTACGTCATTTATCTCATAGACGTCAAAATCAATGTAAAACGTAGTTCACCTTTAAAATAATTAATCTAATCGCCAAACAATTTAGATAACAATTTTATCAAAGACTATTGAAATATTTGTAGATTTAAGCTTGGAACAGTTCCAACACAAATGCAAACCCGTGCCAAATGTTAAATGCGCACTAGATATCGTTGTGACATTATGTTATTTATATTGTTGAATTGTATCTTCCGTAAATTTATCTATCATTTCATATGCAGGTGTCATGACAACACGTGCATAATTGTACAGTGCTACGTTGCCGTGTTCACGTAGTCACAGATCTGAGCTCTTCACCCATTCATCAGAAATTGGCACAGTTATTTAGCTCAACTAAGTAGTTAAGAAAACAAAACTACATTATTTAAACGACGTGGAAGGTTTAACGATCAACCTTTTTATAGTTCACTAAAATCCATTCTGTGAAGATTTACTAGGAGTATTCTTTTTATAAGATTGTATCTGTTAAAGTTAGGAGTTGAACATTTGAAGTGAATGAACTACAATAAGTTAGTCTGACTCAAAAGGGTGGAAACGAAATAAAATCATGAGAAAAGGGTAATATAACGTGAAGATCATTGAAAAAGTAAAAGGTTAATGATATCACGTGTCCTGAGAGGGTTAGAGACATTTGTTTTGTTACCCGCAATAACAATCGCAATAAAAAAGTAATGTCGCGCCCTCAAAATCTGAAACGAGGGATTAACATTGACACCAATTAACATCTAACAGGTGCCACATCAACGTAATGTGATCATAATGGAGACACATCTCGTACTACTAGGGTTGTAAGTTATATGAACGTTTAAGTCCACTTTTGTTTTGAACTCTTAAAATATACATGTCTTAATTTCAGTTGTATGTTTTTTTCTAGTGAATGACATAGGTGTAATGTAGACAGTATGAATAGATACACTTGAAGAAAACATCATCTATAGTTATTTCCAAGGCCTTGAAGGTAAAAAAAATCCCAAAAACGAACTAAATAATAATAAAAATTTTTTTTTTAAAAAACCCCGACTTACCCGATACCTCGTAAATTCCGACAGAATCACGTGATTTTCCATGTTTCATTGCATCTTCATGATGACGACATACCTCGTACTTCTAGAGATTATCGGGGTCGTAGTCCTCTTTAATATTGGTGATAAACATTTGGAGACCGTAAACTACCAGTGTAGTATGTAATGATATAAAATTCGGGTTGATCACCGCAACATGATTAAATGTGCCTATACTGTGCTTCTCTAGTGTTTTCAAAAAGTAATTTGATAATATTTAATATCAAAAAGACTATGAGTTTGATCAAAAACGTATCCCATTTCTAAGTAACTTTATATTCTAAGTCCTTGAGCTCGTTTGATTATTGTCTTTAACGTATCCGCTTCCGGAACAGCTGTGTGACCTTCTGTGCTACTTTCTGGATTCAGTCAAAACATACTAATACTTTGATATTTTGATGGGTGTTTTTTTTCAGACCTGTGTATTTCGTCACCACTCCGAGTGTTCTACGATTCAATTCCATAGAGACGGTGGCGGTAAATGTATTCGGCATCAGTGACGTCACTGTTCACCTTTACCTGCACGATTACCCAAACAGAACGCGCACGTTCTCCCAAACGTCAGTCATAGCGTCACAAGGTACTTCACGTGAACTGTTATTATATAAATATATTGAAATAAAGCTCGATAGGAAGTAACACATAATTCTATATGACAATGATTGTTACATAATATCTAAGAATTTCATATTTCTAACACTTTATAACCTATCGTGTTTACCAGCTATAATGAAGTGCTTAATATGACGTTATATAAAATGTTTACCAGTTGATTCAGTTTTTCCATTTCTTAAACAACATAGAACATACCGACATGTGGCAGAACCAAGAGAATTTACTTATCTTGGGTATCATTGTGGGAATCTTCGATTCAGCAAAAACAGGCAGAAATTATAGCCGCCTATTCCGATTCTAAATTATGACGAGGAGATTGACTTTCCTAAATTCCTATGACCCACCAATAAATATTTCTGTTGGTTTCTTAGATCGTGTGAAAATGGGTTTTAGGCCGAAAATTGAAACATAAAGTACATCAACGCTCTCTTTTTTAATATTATATAAATTATACCTTATTTTTTTCTTTCAAAGCAGAATGGTTTACTTGGCTACCATAATTGACGGTTTTAAGATGTTATTCACTTATTTGTCTTTTGTAAAATCTTTGATATAGAATCAAGGCCATTTTTTCAAACTTTTCATGTTTTCGCTGTTTTGCAGCAATGTGACTCTCAAAACCAAACAATGCTTAATGATGTCATAATTAATTTTAGAACCATTTCAGTGTTTGATACTGACATTATACAGAAAGATAAAGTGAAGGTGTGAATATGGAGGATAATAATTAACTATCCTACTGGATAGATTCGGACTTATGTGACGAAAATGACGTAAAACAACGCTCAAAAATCAGTATTTAGATGAGATTTATATTTAGAGGTTTAAGCCACTTAAATTTAACACGCGCTTTATATTTTGATGATACCTGTGTCCTTTAAATAATACGTATTCGTAGAAATGTGATACCGATCTTCACTGCTATCCGATTGATAATGAGTTGCAGAAACGACATATTGTATTTACTTGCACTGTGGCTGAACTGGTTTAAATCCTTTCAATAGTTATTAGGTGTCAAGTTATGGAGTAATTAATTCTCTATTTTGACTTAAGTCAGTTTTTAATTCTCTTAGCCGCCACATGTAGACCTCTAAACTCACTGACGGTCCTAGCAACATAAAGCAGTCTTATGATGCAGTTGTCTTCATTGTTTTATTATGTTGTAATTCTTACTCGTATTAAAAAGGGTTACTAACTTGAGTTTCTTTTGTACATGTAGTCCTAGCACGTGAAACTGGTGCTCATGCTGTTGCTGGTAAGATATTCAGAAATCCAAATAGTTTTGTTTGCAAATAATTATCGGATTTTCGGTGGCTGTTTTGTTCTGTATATTTCAAACACTTTCTACCTATTCAGGACAGACAACGAAAGCTCGTATGCATGTAAGGCCTTCCGACCTGCCGGACGAAGAGGACAGACAGAGTCAGGACATACATAGTTATGTGTACCTTGTTGCACGTTCGGACGATCCACGTCTATCATTTTTAAATGAGACTCTGATACTTATGGAACGCAATACTGGCTTTGTTTTTGTACAAACAGACAAACCTATCTACACTCCACACCAAGAAGGTAGGGTGGTAGGTGAAAAGTGAAATAGTTATAAATGTGTGTAGAATATCGAAGTTGTTTATACGCTTTGTTGTCATGGTTAAGAATAAAATTATCTACTTCACGTTTTCTAAAATTATATGAATATGTGATATATGGAAATTAGGAAATCATTGAACTATGGGGCTAGTGCACCTACCATTCTCGATTTCGACATTTATTCCAATCGATTTTCCTCAGTCGCCTCCTTGGTTTCAAATTTTAAGCCCTTAACATCACTGACTGTAAGTGCGATGTAGTTTAATTAGTTATTTGGCTCTCGTGTCTAATTATAGATATAATAAATACTGTATATATTAACTGGTGTATCTTATGTAGCTTGTGTTTTAGTTAGATGTTATGTTGATAGACAATACAAAAATGCTAAATTTAATTCATTTCGGATTGATACATATGAAATTGAAGGAATGTTTGTAGCATTTTACACTTTGAACAAAAGAGAGGACGTTCATTATATATCTGTGTATAGAAAGTATTGTTGTCACTACTCGCATTATATAGAAATTATTAAAGCATTTATTGGGTGTGATTTAGATAACATTACCAATGTTCCACAAAGCATTTTCATACATTTACACATAATTATTTGTTTTATTTATCGCTCAAAAATATAAGCCAGGATTGCTTTGATAGAATTTCACCTTGGTCTGGATTTATGTTTCCAATTTCACTTTACTTAATAATTAGTTTGATAACTTATTTGTTACTAGTTCAATTTTCTACGTTTATTATGACTACGAGTCACACTGTTCTGACTTTCTCTCGTGTAGATTAACGATTACATCATCCAGAAAATGTGTATCCGCAAGTGTTCGCTACGGTTTAAATCACTACCTGTGTCGTGGGTTTAATGATTTCCATGAGAGTTGTAAAGCTGCACGTCTGATATTTTTTTTACGTTTTAGTTAAAATCCGGGTGATAACTTTGGATGAAGAAAGAAAACCAACAGCGACACCTGTCACAATCGACATCAAGGTAAGATTAATGTATCAGGTGTATTCATTTCCGGAGAATTGACATCGTTGTTTTCATTCTTACTGACCGACTGTTATCTGGGAGTGTTGTTTTTTCTGGATGTTTGCTGGTATCAACAATGACGTTGAAAAAAACTAACCTTTTCGGAACATCAGGTCTTGCTTTTACGTTTTCAATGGTAAATCTCTCTTTAGTACATATCTCACCCTCATTTTCTTGATTTCGTTTCGGTCAGTATTGTCGCATTATTTGTACAAAATAACCAGAAAAACTGTCATCGTTGTTGACAATGAAATATTCGACGTTTCAACATCAAAATAATTGTTCAACTGGATGGATAACGACGTGATCATTTTGATAAGATTTAAATAAAGTTTAGATTGGCCTTAGATATACTAGCACGCAATGTGATGTTTTCTGCAAAACTGTGTCTCTGTAATTCATGATGAATATACATCCCATAAAACACTATTCAATGCTTACATACAACTGTACATGTATACCTTGCAAATCGATAATGCGATTGATTGATCGATTAATTGATCAATTGATTGATTGATTTGGTCATGGCAACACTGTACAGTGTTACAATGTATTCCTCTGTCATGGAAACGCCGTCAAGAAGGCAAGGTAGGTAGATACTGAACATTTCAATCTGACGATGCCATAATGAATGACCTTAAAAACATTGAAACAAGGGCACTGAAAAATCATTAATTCTGTTATATATTGTTGAATTAAAGTCTGACGCTTCAGTTCTATTCACCAAAGTGCAGTAGTTGTCATGTATTATTTCCTTTCAATCGTGATGCATTATTTCCTCGCCAACTGAATTTTACTTTTGAATTGAGCGAATAATTGTTATTCTGCAAGAATATGTTCTAAAACAATTTTACAATGTGACATAGTGCTTATTGCAAAACTGAAATAAAGAATGAACTTTTCAAATTAGTACTTATTTTGCTGCACGATATACCCCTGATCGTTCCATTGCTGTTCACCTTGTTCTCATTTGGAACCATGGAGTATGTACTTCGATTGACGAAGAATAACACAGCAGGTGTGTTCGATGAACCAGAATATGCTACCTTTACCAAACATATTACCGTTTTTATTTTTTCAGGAGTTTCCTCGTTAATCTTTCTTTTGATTGGATGTTGCCATGGTTTCATTGAACTTTGAATTTAAATTAAGTTGACTTGACGGTTTTTATATCCCCCACCCCCACCCCCCGACACATACACACGCACACAGACTCGGATAAGGGAGGGTATAGTAATCATTTTGTCTGAACATCCGTGAGTGAGCGCGTGCGTCCGTGAAAACATTATGCACAAAATAGTTCATTAGCATATTTTGGATCATATTCACACTAAAGGATTATACCACCATTTAGTCAATCAAGGTGACAGATCAAATGTCATCGTTGCAGACTTATGAAATAAAGTGTCTGTGTAAAGAAATATTATGAATCCATAAACATAATTAGTTCAGAGTATAACCTTAGACTTTGGTGGTAAGTGGTCAAAGGTCATCCTATATACAAGACTGGGAGTTGGAATATATCTATTTGAGCCCTGCTCGCTTTGTTTTTATCATGGTTGATTTTGTTGGTTCTGATATACCAATATTCCCCTGGATGTGGACATGTGTGTTGTATGTACTGATAATATTACTCCCCTAGAATCCACAAGGAGTGGTCCTTCAGCGATGGACAGCTTCCTACCAGGGCAGGTTCATCCTCAAGAAGTTCCAGCTGCCATCTATTCCCTACTTTGGTAAAAACTGGACCGTTACAGCACGGTATCAGGACGGTGTATGTATGATTTTAAATCTCGGAAGCATTTTCTAAGTAAGCCCGATTTCACTGTTAATGGTATTTAAGATTTAATTGGTTTTCTTTAAGATATTGATAGGTGAGCGATACGCTGATCATATTAAAATATAATTCTTTGATCAAATTCTCAATTCATTTCAATCTATAATTCCTACGTCACAATAAGTCATTTAACCTGGGTTAGTCCGCTAAAATATACCTTGGACTTTTTTTAGGGGCCTTCGTGGAAATATTTTTTTTGTTCATGTTTTGTCCTAATTTCATTGATTCTGGGTTTGGACTATGATTATGTTGAAATGTTGGTATTTTATTGATGTTTTTGGTCCTTTTTAATGCCACTATTTCACCGATTTTAAGTTTAATTAAGATTTTGTGGATTTGATACTTACAGGTAGATACCAGTCATAGTATTACATTTGAGGTCAGAGAATACAGTAAGTATCATATAAAATATTAATTAGAAAGTTTGATTTTAAAAACAATCAATTTAAATTTAACTCTCCTGTATGCATGAGTAGTCCACATCACATGAATTGATTGGAATTCAAAGTCGATAAAATGTAACAAAAAATTGAACGAAATGATCACAATCAGATTCCTAAATCAAATCAAATAAAAAATTGCTTGATACAAAAGACAATGAAAACATCAAGATATTTCTTAATGATAGCAATCAAAGATTAATTTGTCTCAGTAACATCAGTGAATTAGTCTCAGTGACATCAGTGACTTTGTCGCAGTGACATCAATGAAATTTCGATTGTGTTTGCTTTTCGTTCCAGTACTGCCTCGTTTTGATGTGAGCGTAGATGTACATGACTTGGAGATCGTGTTACCTTCAACTGAATGGATCAATGTCACGGTATCCTCCAAGTAAGTATAACATCACATCAGGGGCAGATAACTTCAGCTTTAACCAATGGATGATCGGCAGTATTTATAGCACGTAGTTGGTTTGTACCTTTGAATGTCAGACTAAACCGCAACGCAATCTTCAATACTATTCAAAGTCAGGCACTTTTGTAGTTCATGTTATAAATAATCTATTCTTTTAGGAAGTGAGATTTCATTTGATTTGCTTTTCATACGAAGCCTGAATAAAAACTTATACAAAATCTCTACTAAACTATATCAACGCAAAAAAAAAAAAAAAAAAAACAAGTAAGTCAAGTAATAGATTAAAGGTGAAAACAAAAAATCATAGATTGAACTGTTTTAGCAGTACAATAACATATATTCAGTCGGCGTGGCTAGTCAGATATGTTGTCTTGGACTTTGACAAGTATAGACGCATTAATGAAATTATCGATATTTTTAACATGATAAGATTGTTTGTTAATGACACTTGTTTTTGTTTCTGTTGACGTCTAAATTACGATTTGGAATCTATCCAACTAAATGTGTCAGAATCATAAGAAAAAAAAATTGGAAAGACTTAGTTTAGTAAAGCATGGTATCAATATCTGTAGCATAATACAAAAAGTTAATAATATAAGAATTTACGTGATGAGAACTAAATACGTGGTGAAGTTGGACGAGCGATTAAGGACAAAACAGCTGTACGAGTTAGCTTAATTCATTTAATTCTACTGTATCTGACTCTAAAGTCGTATTTAAAGGCACACGCCCTCTGTACAATCTTACAGATACGTGTATGGGAAGCCTGTGATTGGTGGTGTGACCTTGTCTTTCGGAGTGATGGCAGCAGGACAACACGAGACCTGTTCAAAGACGTTTAACAAACTCGTCAGTAGTTCTCATTGTTTTATCCTACGTATTATTTCAATAAATTATTAGTCTTCACTTCTTCCTGTACATAACGTTTTAGTAATGCTATGTCGTTGGAAACAAGCTCCAAGACACGGAGTGGATGATTAAGTTTGTATCAGAACCAGAATGCTTCATACGTTACTGTCAGATTCTATTGTTTATACTATGTCTATTATTTTATTTTTGTTATTACCAGTCAGCTATTGTAATATTAAGCTGCAATTCTCAAATATTTTCTCTAGAATAGCATTTCAGATTTCTTTGTTTATTGAAAGTTAAAATCAATAAATAATAACAATAAAGGCATTTTCACACGGATCTGTCTGTCTACTGACATCGGTATGTTCAATATTCATGTTCAATCACTCGATCCAAATATAGCTTGTGGACGGACGAACGGACTTCGCCGTGAGTATTGACGAACTCAAAGAAAGTCTTGAAAGCTATTGGTTTCCAGACGGTGCCCGTTTGTTCATAGAGGCGGGGGTTACTGACCTATCCTCGGGCCGGAAGGAGACCTCCTACCACAAGAGTACAGTTTTCTCCTACTTCCGGTACATCGTTTCCGTTGAGAAGTCTCAAAAGTACTTCAAACCTGGTCTTTTGTACCGATTACACGTACGTATATATGTGTGTCTAGGTTATTTTTTAAGGATATTTATATCAATTATTTATTTTGCTTGCGCTTGTAAATGTGCACGTCGGATGGCATTCCCGGCTATAAACTCCCTAGGGCGAAAGGACATAATCAGTAACAAAATACCAAATAGTCACAGATAGATTGGAGAGGGCTTTGAAAAACTATGTTTGCAGAGAAAAATGATACCGGAGCCTCAGATTATTATTATGACATATGAAATTTGTATCACTCGTATCAACTAAGTTTCATAGAAATAATATGATATTTGAGAAGGCTGGATTTTAGTTTAGCTCAGTTGTCACAGAGGTCTTCACTGATGCAACTAATGTTCGATTTAGGGAATATACATCGTTGCAGAATTTTGTTGCAAATTTCACAAACTGGATTGAGTATAATTTGATCTTAAAAGATCTACCTTAGACCAATACCGCCAGTGGTTGTATCACTATCTGTTACTTTTTTGACATTTTGGTTGTCTCCTCCATCATTGTTGCGATTTCGAAATTAGATTGTATTTTGGTGTGTTTGTGTTATGGCATTTTTAAACCGACAACTTAGATTGGGTGATCGGGTGCAGCAGTGGCAATACACTCGCCTTTTACCTAGGCGTCCGAGGTTCGATTTCCGGCACAGATGTGAAAAGGTCAGGGGTCACCTACTCGACCACGTGGGTTTTCCTAGGTACTGTGGTTTCCTCCCACAATCAGACTCCTCGCACATTTCCATTCAATACGACAAAAGCTTAAAGCTTGTTTCGCAATTGTTGTAAAATACATTGTATATATGTATATTGTTATTCGTGTTACCAAAACGTTCGTTCGTGTTTCACCCCCTTTGTATTCTTTATATATATATATAGACATATTTGGTGGATTTCGTTCAATTACTCGTCTTATGCAAATCGATCAGGTGGAAACATTCTTTGCCAACGGAAAGCAGAATAGTGCCCCGGATGTAGATATTGCTGTGCAGATAACTCGATATAATGACGCGGGTGTCCTTCATTCCCTCAATCGGACGGAGCGGACAGATGAGGATGGCACCTTCCAATACCTCGTCATAATGGGCCACACTGAAACACGTATGGTCATCAAGGTAAAGGGACCAGATTTTTTGCTAGAAATTATAGATAATCTTTGTAATTTCAAATGTGAAATGTATCCCCCCCCCCCACAAAAAAAGCAAAAAAAAAAAAAAAAATCAAAGATTTTTGCGATTAATATGATGGAATGATTTGCACTGCAATATGAGTATTGGAGTGTTTTATATCAACGTTCATGTTTTCCCAGGTTAAGGCGCTGGATCCCGATGTTGATGAGGATGAACAAGACGAATCGATATTAGAGGTGTTACCTCTGTTCTCGCCTTCAGAAAACTATCTTTCCATCTGGACTAACTTGGTACGTGACCCCTATGATAAATGTACACCAAACAGAAAGTCATAGATGTCAAACATTTGTATGATGTCGAAGTTTACTTTGTATGACGTAGCATCAGCTATTTCCGTGGGACTTAGATATGGTTATTTGTTAAAGATAAACTCTTCATGGGGTGATGACGTAGATAAATAATTTGAATTGTTCGCAGTTCGTTGATTAATGTTGTCAGCTTGGCATGTATATAGACAAAATATTATTTGTAGAATCATAATTCTTTCTGAATTATATAAATTTTTTTTTACTTTTTTTGGCGGAAGTCACATCAAACCTAATCTCCATTAGTACATGTATTTATTTTCTCTAAGAGTTTTAAGAAATCTCTAATATGTTCTGTTTTTGGTCTGTATTGAATCTTCTTCGTAAGTAAAGGGATTAATTTTCAATGAGTTTTTGGTGTAAGGCGTAAGTGTTCTCAAATTATTTCTATAAACTTTCCGTGATTATGAATTTCAATTACAGCATGAAACGGATCTAATGGTAGATACCATATCTAGTGGAGACAACAATAAATCCTTGTCATATTTGGTAAGTTATTAAGCTCGTCAATAGATTCTATTGTTAATTAATGCATTGAAACACCTTGTATAACCCACCTTTTCAGACATTTATATGTATACATGACACGCTTTCTAGAGACCTTTGTATCAAAAATTGCGTAAAATGTCCAAATGTTTACTGATTTGTGAAACAGAAGTTCTCACTAGCAAATAGCATTCACACGTTCATATTTGTCAATCTTAAAACCAGGTACAGTACGGCTTGTTTTTGGAGTTTCGTGAAGACCATGTTCAGTTCGTAATTATTAGCCCTAATAGTTGTTTCCAAGCTACACGTTTTCTTATTCCCCACAATAAGACAATTCCACATCTGAAGCTGACGGATTTTTATGGTAGAAATCTGTTGATAACACGTGGCTTGTTTTGGTCTGGGGTATATTCAGTGGTCAGTGATCTCTTGATATGTTATCAAAATCAGTAAACAGCATATAAGAGTCTGTCTGGAGGTCTGCTGCTAATTGTGTCTCTTTCATACGTGGATATTTGATATTTAGACATGTGATTTAGGCATCTTATGAAGCTTTACACAGTTGATAGGAAAGAAATTCACAGAACCGGAAGTGCGGTATCATTGTAAACAGACGGTCCCAAAAAGGTATTCCCAAAGTTTAGAAGAACGATTGACTGAAGTTATCCATTGACAGATACATCATCTAATCACAAAGTATCTTATCGCTCAAACGTCTGTTGACGGTACGTCAAACAATGATGTGCTACTGTCCTCTGAGCCAGTAACCAGTGGTGAATGCAACTCGTTTTGTCTGACTTCAGAGAAGTCTATCCTCTCTGTCTATATTCTTTAGAGAAATAACAAAATGGCTGACATTCAGACGTGTAGCTACTTACCTGTATGTAATACCACCGTGAACCATTCAAAAGTCTGTTTTCACCATTGTGCACCTCCCAGATTTTTTTTTATTATATTCTAATTTAAAGTTTGAGTTTAAAGAGTCATCTATGTTCGTATTAGTAGTACAATCATTGGCATCCATTTAGTAGCCTGATAGTAACACGTTTATATATGAAAAGTATCACACTTGTAATACAATTTACTTTTATTATCTTGTTCAATGTTCATGATTATTGGTTTCGAACATCTTAACATATATTTCTTAAATCGAAAATAAATCTGTATGAATCTTACAGCCAGTAGATCGTAACATTGAAGATGAGAATAAAACATTTTTTTTTCTATGTTATCCTAGAACAGTTTTTCTCATTCATTAAACCATTGCGATACTTTCATAAATTAATTCAATAGTATTGTATTGCATGTAATTACATTTAACGTTATATTCACATTATAATGAATATGAAATCATGAACGACATTACATATTAAATGTATATTAAAATGAAAGCTATGAAATTGAATGTGCGTTTAAATACTTTTTTAGTTTTCGGCATGCTTGGTTTTTGTCAGACTGTTTTCTCAGTAAAGGAACGTTCAAAGATAAGTTGATAACAAAATTATCGCAGCTGACAACAGATTCCATAGTTAAAATCCATTTCCAACTATTTTGAAAGAACTTGTCAAAGTCTTAAGCTTCTGTACTTGGAGTCCATCACAGGAAAAACTTCCTATTTGCTTCAAGGTTTGGTCAAAGTACGCAAATTTAAACCGCTGAAAAACTAGCCTTCATGTCAGGTTTAAGTTACGAGGTAAGATGAGTTGATGGGTAATGATAGGCAGTATATTAACTTAATAGTTGATGTCTGGAGGGCGGATTATAGACGCAGAACAGTCTCATGAGATCGTCCATCGCCTTGTCACTGGTAAGATGTCGCCTGGGATTCGCGTCTTGGCATTCTACACTGTCAACGAAACAGCAGGCACGGAAGTTGTTGCAGACTCCACGTGGATAGATGTAAAGAACATGTGTGAAAAGGAGGTAATTAGGTTAATATGATTAAGGTTATTGATATCTGAAGTAGATACGCATATTTCCGTTACAGAGATGCCTGACAGGACTTTTCTTTCGATCATTTTGAATTTTTATTAGTCATATCTAAGGTTTCAATATTTAGGCACTAAGCGTCACTGGTGATGAAACAGTTGTATGGCACTGTTTAAATCATTGTTTGGTTCTACTGTATCTAACTCTGATTTATATTAAGTGGTGCTATTCACTAGTGTCTTTCGTATAATCTTGACACGACAATAACCACTGTTTATAAAGCCATCTTCTGAATGTGTTGATATGTTATCCCGTAATGACAGTAAACAAGGTTTGCTTTCTTTGCCGATATATTATTTTTATTTTTCCTGTTTAAGTTGGGCGTGTCCAAGGAGAAGGGAAGATTGCAGCCTGGTGACGGAGAGGGTCTAACACTGCAGATCAGCGGGGCACCGTCTAGTCTAATTGGTTTCTTGGCCGTGGACAGGGCAGTTTACCTTCTTAACAATAAGAACGTACTGAGGAGACACACGGTCAGTGAACATTGTTTAGATGTTTACATCACGTGTCGTTTTTGTATAACAACATGCATTTCACGTGAATTCTGATTATGTTCTCCAAACATGTTATTAACATAAAACTGGCACAAACATCAAATAAGTCCTGCTTCATATCCCACAAAGAGATCATTATGACTTGGTAATTATTACGAATGAGGGTGCCATCATCCTTCTGAGATTTTTTTATATTTTAGTTTTGTGTTCGTACGTTTATCCTGTAATTCCACCGAATAACGGCAATTTGATTATATCATTTTTATAGATGTTCAAGAGATTCGCATCTCATGATATAGGATGTGGTTATGGAGGCGGTCTTACACCAGAACGAGTGTTTGAGGTAAGTCCGACATCTTCACAACTTTAGAACAAATTTTGTCCGTCAATGTAGTAAAGACTAGCCTCGTAATTAAAACATATCATGTGTCACCACGCAAGTTCGTTATACGTGTGTAGGATTCTGGCTTGGCAGTGATCACCAACGCTGACCTTAACACCACGCCAAGAGACAGTGCCGGATGCAGAAACGAAAATAAGCGCGGAAAACGATCATTAGGTAAGACTACATACTCTGTTGTACTATGTTCTCCTATTTCTTTATCCTTATTTCTAAGTTATTAATACTGTGCTTTAACAAAATTAACACCTGATTGCCATTGTACTTATAAAACACATGCTCTGGTTAGTTGCTATTCAAATGGGAAATTTAAGGACCATCGCATTACTTTCAAAATCAGTGTTGATTTACTAAATTTATTCTTCCGAGACAGATATTTGAAGGAGATGATGAAATTGTATTGTTTTACGATCCTGCACCTGTAACAACGAGGCTGTTCATTAAGTTATGTGGTCGCAAATAACTTCAATCGAAAGTACTCTCGCATTAAGCCTATATTGAGAGTATCCAGGTCACACACAGAGTATTCTGTTTTACTCTGAGATGATCAAATGATTTCAGTTTATAAACAAAGAAATTAGACGAAAGCGTATCTGTAAAACAAGTAATACGATTTCAGAAATATGTTTAAATTTTTAAAAATATTTTGCCACAGATGAATATGAAACCCTACACACTCACCCCTGTTGCGTGGCCGGTGACTTGTTTGGGAGGGATGCTGGTACCGAGCTTGATTGTTATAACGAAGGGAAGGCTGTGTATGCGGCAACCAATAACACGAGCTGTTCAAAGATCTTCTTCGAATGCTGCAACATCTATAGACCGGCCTCTTTGATTGACTTTTACGATTATGGTAAGCTTCAATAATACGGACATTTAAAATTATGGTACGTTAAATTAAATTGCTGGTATAGTCTTTAATAAATTGATTGAGTATTTATTCTTAAAATATCCATGAATGGTGCCTTATTTAATACGAATTTTACATGACTGAAGACCACTTATTATTCTAATTTCTGAATAATACTTGTGCTGTTGCAATACAACCCAGTATGATATGTTGACGTACGATGGAGTTGCGCTGGCTTCCTTTTATTAAAGACATTTTCTGATGTTCTCAATCGCTTGGAATGTTGATAATGATAACACGATTAAAGACAACTTTTAGCTATCGTTGTTACACTAGTTGATAATTTCAACTAATAACGTGGCATATTTTTTATGTTAACTGTAGGTAAGATGTAAGAATTTACTCGCTTTTTCCGCCGAATTAACCATAAAATATTGTTAAATGAAGGATCGTTGTTTCTTACATCAAGTTTCCCAACTGTCACACTTAAGGGAAATCATCCACTTCATATCTGACGTATTGAAAAATATACGAAAACAGTTGTTTTCAAGGCTGATCATCAGATCAATAAGTTACAGTTAAAAAGATGTGTGTGTACATCGTTGACGTCGAACTGAAGAAAGATGAATTAAACAGAGAAATGATTGGGTAATTTTATTTGACATTTCTTTGCCAGGTCGTGTGATGCGTCGAGGTATTGTGAAATATACATTCCGTGACGTCATTGTTGATATTGAAAACGCCGAAGTAAGGTCCTACTTTCCAGAGTCCTGGATGTTTGAGGAAGATGATTATCTGGAGTAAGTAAACCGAAGAACATGTACCATACCTATATCTCCGATTCAAACAAGGTAAAATGATAGAAATAGAACACATGTCTTGAGGGATAACATTTTACTTTCCACAGAAAACTGCATGTATCTCGATATCTGGAAGCAACGACACGTGTCTGGTTTAGCTTTCCTGTTACGTAAGAAGCTCAAGAAAGGTGGCAGAATTTTCAGATTTACAGAAAAAATAGGATTATGGTGCCTCAGAATCAGCCATTCAAGGACTGTACAAAACACAAAATTCGAATTTGATACAGTAGAGCCAAATCACGATTAAATTTATATCGTACAGCAGTTTTCTTCTTTCTTCGGCTCGTCATTGATGCTAATGGTCTAAAATTAGGTGCCCTCTAAAGAAAATAGAAAATGAAAGAAAAAAGAATAGAAAGAAAATTTTAAATCGAGATTGGAGATGCGGTATCCCTTTAACTCAATCGTCTTTGTAATCAAATTTCGTTCATAATTGCTTTGTCAGTGAGAACGGACGCCTGGAAAAGAACTTTGCTGTGCCAGATTCGATCACGACCCACATTATACAAGCCCTCACACTCTCTGAGGATTATGGTATGTGCATCTCTAAACCAGAGCGCGTGCAGGTATTCCGCACGTTCTTTGTGGACCTAGAGTTTCCCTACAGTATTGTCCGACTGGAGCAGGCCGAGGTTAGAGCAACGATCTACAATTACTCGCCAGATATGTTACCTGTGAGTGTGTGTAAGCGTTTTATATTGAGTAGATCAAAACTGTATGATTGCTTTTTGCTAACATAGGTTTATTTGGCTTTCGACTTCTCCACCAGATTCTGAGATAATGGAAGCACCAGTTGTATATCACTTGATGCATTTGATATGTTACTATGGAGCCTTAAAATCAAAATAATTACAAAACAGACAAGAAAATAATAATATCACTTAAGTAAATAAATCTATATAACCTAGTAATGACACGGTTTGGTTTTTTGATTGCAATAGTATTTTATTGTTTCAGTGTTTCGTGTATATTGTAACCCCAGACGAAATATGTACCCCTAGATCAGATGATAGTTATATCAAGGTAGAAGTTCATCCCAACAGTCCGGAACCTATCAAATTTCCGATCGTGCCGCTTCAGGCCGGGGAATTCGAGTTTGAGGTCAGAGTGTATTCTATCAACGGTACCAACGATGTTGTACGGAAAACGGTATATGTAATTGTAAGTAATTATATAAGTATGTATATTCTATTTTAAGGAATTATAGGTAGATAGAATGGTTTAACACCTGGTTTCATTTTCCTTGTACTTTTCCAGGGGTCAACGTGAAAGTCTTTCTTTTGTTTATATTTTGCCCTACTTTCATTGACATTGCTGTTAATATTGTGGTAATCACTTTTTTATATACATATATGTAAATTTGATCGTGCCCAGTTGGGTATTCATAGTAAACGTTTATATTCAAACCGAAAATTTACTTTTAACATATCTATTTCCTATGCAGCAATACATCAAGCACCCTCTATGTAAGAATAAAATGATAAATTAAAGTCAAAGTTCCCGAAAAAAGTAAGTCTACAATATTTTGCAGATTTCTCCTAACTACACTCTCCTTGTTTCGACGGTGAAATTGTCATCATACCCATACTTTCAAGGAAATAAATCAGTAGTTTAGTCTTAAGCCAGCTACGTAATGCGTTTGAGTTAAAAAGTTAAGCATTGTTGCACAACACCTGCGGAACAAACTTTAAGCGTATATCAATCACTCGTATTGGCCTGAAATATGAGCATGAGGTGTCTTACTGTGCAAGGAAACTGTAGTACCCAGAGAAAGCTGACATGCTCGAGCAGGGCAACCAACAGCTTTCATTCAGGCGTCCAGGTAAAAGCCGATTGCGTTATCACTACGCCACCGACCATCCATGAATTTCAGTTATATGAATTATTTATTAAAGTCAATGTGATGTATATATAAACGCGCTTATTAATGTGATATGACACTCGTGAAAACCCACGTGACGGGTAAAAACATCTATATTGTTTGATGAACCCTATTGAATCGATATAGATCTCCTTCTAACGCTTCTCAAAGACAGGTTATTTCTTTTAGATTGCATGTCATATTACATAGAAAGTTATGGAGATTAGCACTTGGTTACAGAATGAGGGAAGAGAGGAGAGGAAAACAGTGTCGTTTTGGCTGGACCCTCAAGCACACAGGGACAGAGTTGGAAGCACAGGAGATCTGACTGTCAATAGTACGTATATCGTGCTATTCATTTGTGTGTCATTTTTGTACAATGCTTTGAGGTTTAAAGACGTTAAAATTTCGGGTAGACTTCACTACCATAGGATTATCGTTACATGTCAAATTATTATTGATTTTAGCAGTGCTACGTTTAAAAACATACTCATTTATCGTTCAACCAGTATTGCAAAAGTGAAAAAAGAATGTGATTACTGTTGTCCCTGTTCCACACTGATTTCTTCTAAGATGATTTTTCTTCAGTCGCCTTCTACAGACTTTAGCATTTTAGGTCATTTAACACTGACGATTCCTAGAAGCACTAAAACGCTGTCTAATGGAGTTTTAACCTTGATTTTACAATATTGTATCTAACTGTTTTTTAAAGGCGCCTATTTATTTGAGTCTTTTGAGCAATATTTACCTACATCTTGTGTTGTTATTATTGTTTTAGTTATGTATCCCTCACCGTACCTAGAGATACAGGAAGCTACTGTTGATTTAACCCTTCCTGAAAAGGCCATTCCAGGAACTGGCATGTGTAAGGTTTCAGCCATGGGTAAGATATTATATACAGATTTTCTTTGTAGGGCAGGTATCTAATAACGATATCTGAATATAAATCTGTCACTAGATCTGTCTTTTGATATCATTCATTGACTCGATTCCTCCTTGTTCCTATTTTCATCTTTACGCAATTACATCCTGTAAACTAATTATCTTTAGTATGAAATTCATTTCCGTAAATTTTATGATCGAAACATCCGCAAAAATAGATTATTGTGTCGAATTAAGACAGAGAGGAAAACTATCACAAAATAGCATATTACTGGAATATATCCTGTTTCGCGAAAGTCATATCCCGAACTTGTTGCGATGGGCAAAGTCTGGCAAGTAAGTTGTTTTACCGTAGACGAACAGAAAAAATATCGTCAATGATTAGTTCAATTTTAAAGAAACAAACTATAATAGGGAATAGTATGATGGAGAACAAAAACTCAATCTATTGTTTTCAAACTATTATCACGATATATCATGCAAGTTTGTTTTGTTATGATTTTTTAAAATAAAAAAAACCCATTCGTACAGGAAACATCATGGACGCGACAGTGCCTGTTGTTCTAGAAGGAGCGAATGTTTTATTGGATAAAGTTCCTCACGGGTGTGGAGAACAGACCATGATTTTACTGGCTCCTGTTGTCTATACGATGCGGTACCTACAAAGGACAGGGCAACTGTCTAAAACACTTGAGGACAGAGGGAAGAGCAGGCTACGATTAGGTATATTTTATAGAGTGCATAAATGATCAGGTCTAAATACGATAACGGTAACTAAATACTTCGAAAAAAATGTTACAATAACATTTTAGTGGTGTACAAAAGCCACATTTTAGTGTATGAAAAGTAAAAACAGAGAAAAAGGAAAAATTGGTATATTTAAGTAACGTTCTAAAATCCTATTTGTACTAAGTGTGCATAGATGACCGTGTCTGAATATCGGTGGACAGCGGTGAAAAGATACTCTGAAAATTACTGTACCATTTTATTGCTGTACAAAAACCATATTTCAGGGATATATAAAAGGTCAAGAAAAGAAAGAAAAGGGAAATAATCGGATAAGACTTCAACTGGATATGAAAGCATTGGATCGAATCTTGTAAAAATAACGGTAATCAATGCCGTTTTTGTGGGGCGACAAAAATAACCTGAGCCTTAGCTCGACTAACTTATTCGAATATGTAGGCATTCCATACATATATTATATATTAAGGAGAAAGGGATGGAGAATCAGATGTGGTACATGTACATCCATCCTTATGTCTCTGGAGCATATTATTGTAGAATATTGTGGTAGCATAAAACTTGTTATTACTATTTTGGAAAACTAATTGCATACATTATTTCTATATCTTTATGTATTGATAGAAACGTAGATTGGCCGGATAATGGTCCCTTTAAATGTTGGTTTCAAAAGCCGTGACTTGTGTCATTGTGACCTTATAAGGTTGTTATCTTCTCACTTTATTTCAAGCAATAATCCACACAAACCACATAAACATTTAATGTAGGTTACCAAAGAGAGATGACGTTTCGAAAGAACGATGGATCGTTTGCTGTTTGGGCACACAGGCCTTCAAGTACTTGGTACGTAACTCAGCTCTCGTAATCGATGTATATCTGATGCAAATGTTTTTTTTTTATCTAATTGCCTTGAACATTCATGGCAAGTAAAATTTTACGACGTAATCGCCTGTAACAATCTTGAAATTGTTATAAAGAGAAATTAAATTGCCTCTCTGTATCCACGTTATTTCTTAAAATTATTTAAGAAAGAAAGTTTTATAAATAAATTGATTATTTTAATTAATAAAGAACATTTTCAGTTGCCATGGAAAAAGCATTGTGAGCACTATCTATGTGGTAACCTTACGCTACAAAAGCTATTAACTCACTAAATATCCATTATAGTTGTAACTTATCTGGAAAATGTCGATTATATCTTTATATTAAACAAATGTTGCTTAAAGCAAGAAATTCGAGATTGCCTTTGATTTGAAATCGATCCTCTAGGCTAACGGCATTCGTGGTTAAGGTGCTGAGTGAGGCCGCTGAATTCATTGATATTGACTCGGAGGTGATATGTGAAGGAATGCGTTGGTTGTTTAGACACCAGCGGGGAGACGGTGCATTTATGGAAACTTTCCCGCTCTTCCACAAGGAAATGATGGTCAGTTTCACTTTTTAAAATTCAGTTTTTTGTAAGTCCGCCTCATGATATATTTTATGTTGCAAAACGGACTGGTTTTCATATTTAATCTTGACGACCTTAATATCGATGGCATGGAATTTTGTGTTGTAAATGACTATGTAGTGGTTGATATCTTATCCAACTTTAAGATAATTTTTGTTCCCGAATTCGATATGCGCTTCAACATATAACTTTTGAATAATACTAGTGTTTAGAACATAATGAATATAATTATTTTCCACTCCGTGTCGACAAGGGAAGAAATGAAATATGAAAATTTCAGCATCGCATATTTAGTTTGTCACGGCTGTCTCAAGTCCGAGGGAAAGACTTTTTGAATGCTGCATGCTGGATTATTGTATCTTAAGGTTACATAAAATTCTGGTTTCAGTTTTAAGCGAATGCGTTTTTCTTTCGATCGCTTGAACAGTTTTTGGTGGACATCTGACTGTTTACGGGGCGAAGGACCAAGAGTAACAATGTTCAGAAAGCTACATTATAATACTTTCGTTTTGATTGTTCTAAACGTGCTTTTTAGTTTTGTTTGAACCAATACAATGTTATTCTTGTTTTGATGTTTTTAGATTCTGCTTGCTACAAACGCAAACTGTTTGGAGACTCAGAGTTTGAAGACATTGAAATCAGCTTATACAATATTCTATGTCATTGAACTTTTTGGCGAACGTGTTAGATTGACTAAATGTTATGTGACGATGCTCGATCTAGCATGCGTTAAGGACTTTAAATGAAGTCATTATGAAAAATCATGAATTAACATAAGATAAACGATTTGTACCACGAATGATAAAATTGTAGTATGTGCATACACTCTCCGTTGTGATAGCTTTCTTTTCTTTCAGGGTGGCATGAATGGTGAAGTGTCTATGACAGCATATGTATTAATAACCCTTCTAGAAGCAGGCTGCAGGCCAGTCGTGAGTTGTTTTGCTGTTTTCTTCACCTCTTAATGATGGATATATCTTCTGATTGTCTGTGAATGGGCTAACTTTCTGGTCTTTTATATCATCTACTGTTCATGGTTCATATTTGAATTAAGTAGATATAACCATGTAAAACAATTCTTTGTAATGAACTTCGGTTTCTCCTATATTTAGTTCAAACTTATTAGTCACGTGACCCGGATTTGTTTTACAGTATGTTAATGATTTAATTTCGTGTCACTATTTTCATGATTGTACAAAAAGCATACAAGTATAACATTTTAACTTCAATATTACTCAGCATTGCTTTCTTTGACGTGATACTTCAATTTCAGATATATATGATATCATAAGATGGCCATATCTAGAAATATTTCTGATTGAACAACGTCGCCTACATTATTACTGCCACCATAACGACACTTTGACCATAATAAGTTAGGATGAAACTATTATCAAGTAAATATCAAAATACGGAGATCATTTTTTAAAGTCATTGATTCCTTAAACTAGTTATCAAAGATAGTAAGGACATCAATTTCATATTTACAGGATACGGAGCAAAACATAGTGCTTGCGCTTCAATATCTTGAATCTCATCTAGACTTCATCGACCAGGCATACCCTCTCGCCCTTACCACATACGCCCTTGCCCTTGGAAACAGCCCTAGAAAGATGGACGCTATCCATTACCTTAAATCACTCTCTATCGAAGTTGATATAGTGGACGGTGGACAAGGTATGATAAATATCACGTATAATGCATTTATACACTGTCATTAGATGAACAGAATATTTCAGCTGGTCACCGACCAGGAGAAGAATACGCTTGGTATTTACCTGTATGTCATCATAATCGACTAATGGTCAGCAGGGGGGATTCATTTGGTGCTTTCGCTTCATAGAACACTAGTAAATTAGGAATGGACATTTGAATTAGAATTACAGAATCATGGATCTGGTACGCATTTTTACTTTTTTTCAATCAATTTTGATCTGCCTTTGCAGTCTCCTAGGTTTCAATATTTGCTCTGGCCTTAATATCACTGACGAGTCCTAAAAGGACGAAACAGCTGTATAATGCAGTTTAATTCATTAATGGATATATTGTGCGTATTTTGCACAATCTAAGTGTAAGTTTAATATGATTGGCTAATATTGTTATACTTATATGTGGTAGGCTTGCGGTATTGGTCCGTGATCAACTTTGTTGAAGAAGTACCACACTGGCTGTCACATAACCCGACTGCCATGGATGTCGAGATAACAGCGTATGCGATGTTGTCTCTTCTTGCCGTAAATGACGTTGGCTATGTTCATAACGTTGTTGAGTGGCTTCTCACACAGAAAACCTCAACGGGGGCTTTCAAGTCTACGCAGGTTGGTGAATAAATATTTCAAATATTATTTTCGTCATTATGTTTTTTGATTCATTAAGATCAAATGAATATTCCAATGTTCTTTTTTTCAATTTCAACAAATTTGATTAACTTTACAAATGTTTAATGGATCGGACATATATGTCTTTTCTAAAATTTAGTACATGAATACAATGCATATTTTGCATTACATTGTATTGATCAGAGGCGAGGGGAGGTAACTCTAATTTGTTATAGAGATTATAGTACGTATTAAATTGATATAGTTGAAGTGTGCTTTGACTATTTTATTATATTTATACAATTAATACTAATTTATTGATAATCTATTACACATAAATCCTGGGATACAGGTTTTAATGTCCCTGTGTATACACACTTCGACCATCCACCAATTCAATATGCATTACAATTTATCAACGACTTTGTATTCACTGAGTTGCTTAGGATTTAGTTTGTAGAGATGTAAAGTGTCATTTTATCTTTATCTAAGTAAAAATATACTCTTAATAAATATTGTTTACAACAAATTTAATTTTGGTAATCACTGAATATAAAATATGAGGTCAGTTACACATCAAATTTATTGGTTTGATGTTGATACTCAGTTACACTATAGAGAAAAGCTATATATTGATATATTTGCTTCATATTACACAACCATTAAGAAGAGTTTCTAAGTAAAAATGGTATGGTTCATTTGTATATAGTATAATATTTTTTATACTAACTCCTCCATATATATTATGTTATCTCAAATGTGTGCGATCTGTGCTACACAGCACTTACTTACATTATAAATATATATCTGGATGATATGATGGATGTAATAAACTAACGTCCAGTTATTGAGTGTATTCAAAACATACCCTAGGCAATTGCTAATTAAAATTGATTTTCCTGGCCAGGATACCGTGGTTGGACTACATGCTCTATCCGAGTACAATGTTAAGTCTTACGCTCTCAAAATAGACCTCCACACCAAGATAAAGGTATCAACAAACGACGCCATTGAGCATGACATCGTTTTGTCTGACGATGACGTCACCGTTCAGAAAGCTGTGCATGACGTAAGTAGATTGATGCTAATTTCTTGCCATTCGTCCAGAAAGATATATTCACGGAATAGATTTCACCATCTAATAAACTTGCTGACATCATCATAATGTGTGTCTTTGCATTTAAAAGAGTTCACTCAAGAAATAATTGGAACTCAAGAAAACACTTGAAAGGAACCAAAAGCAGAAACGATAAAAAAGTGAAACGCGACAATATTACCAGGAAAAGGTAAAGTTTGTAAGTGGCATAGCATATTAAACCCCACTGAAATGAATACCTATATCATGACAATTTTACTAAAATTCGTCTCATCAATAATAACATATATTTTCAGATACCCGTTGAAGGCAAGCTGAAAGTGACTACAGAGGGCACAGGAGTAGGTAGGATGGAAGTGGAAGTTCGTTACAACGTGAACACAACAGAAGATGAGAGATGTAAATTCGCCATTGACGTGTATGACTCTGAGGTGCAGTTTAATTACTTCCAAAGCAAGGGACTTGCCACAGAGTAGGTAGATAACAAAAGAGACTGTTAATGCAAATAATTTTTTTATCTAGCTACATCATAATTTTTGTTACGTCAGAATGAATATCCGTGATTTTGGTTTTTGTATATATCGGTCATCTCAAAACTAATTCCAGTTAATACTTAGATAAAAATTGTCAGCTATCGTAAGACTGCTTTTGTTTCAATTATAGGATTTTCCACTCTCATTTGGTTCTTACATTAATTAACATGGTATGTGCCGCAAAACCGACACCACAGAAGCTTAAATTATTCATAACATTTAGTTTTCACTTTTAAAGCCACAGTATAAAATTCGCATATTTTGTCTCACGTTTAAGTGACTTTAAGTTCTATATAGTACGTATACAAATTAACTCTAAACCCATGTTGATTATTTGTTGCACAGTATGAACTGCGATGCCTGTGGTCATTGTGAACAGGAATATGATGAGGATTTCGAAGATGTCCTTGACAAGTATAACAAGGTAGATTTAGACCCTAGAATAGGTGTCGACCAACCAAGACACAGTTCCCGAAAGAAAAGGTCTCCGGTTGTCATGAGAATGCATGGCGCCAGCAAAGAGCAGACTTGTTTGGAGATTTGCGTGAGGTGACGAATTTCGATATTTTTAGAATTACCTTATTGATGTAAACATTAGTTACATGTGCAATACGAAACAGCTGTACGATGTAGTTAAACTCTTTTTCATATTCTTTCAAATTCCTCATTTTTATTGAAAGGTGTAAGTCATTTCGTGTCTTTTCAACAAATTGTCTTTTGACTTTTTCACACAATTTAGTCGCAGTACGCGGAAATATTTTAATAAACACCCGCAACCTCAACCTGGAGTATGAATGACACAAACTAGTTATGTCCATAATAGTTTCCTTGGAAAACATACCATAGACATATTGTTGTGTAAAAGAAGGATTTTCAATGTAAATGCCGGATTTATCTTGCATGAGGTTTAGACGAAATCCTACAGCCATACTTTGCTTTTAGGTGTTTGAAAACATGTCTGAAATGAAATCGGTTGAAAGCATTTGTGAAGTTGATTTTTGTTCATTAAGTACTTCAAATTTTAATTAAGAGAGTCAGGGAACTTTTATGATTTGTTTGTTTTAACGTTTGATCCGTTGTGTGTTTTCATTAAGAAATATCTAACATGTAACCAAGGACTTTGAAATATTGTAATTATTGTGAATTAATAATGTGCTTTTTTTCAGAAATATTGATTTAAGCAGTTTCAAAAAATTATTATTGGGAGTTCAGTTATAATTTTGTTTGAGACAAACAATGATGAAATATATTACAGCGATGTAAATAGAGACCCCATTTCATAACATAATTACTGTTCCATTATATTGTAGCTACACCGGTTACGAGGTGCTGGATATGCCAATTGTAGACATTGGACTGCCGACAGGATTCAACGTTGAGAAAGGTGATCTGGAAATGGTGGGTCGATACACATCATTCGTATGAATTCAGGACACACTTAGAATAGCCTCAACATGCTAATTAACAGTAAAATACTTTCATTTAAGCTTATTGCATCGATCTGTTTGCTAACTTTGTGATGTGAATCAAACATATATTGAGCATAAGAAATAATGTCAGCTGATCGTTTAAAGTTTAGCTCATGAACAAACAGCATTCTTCCCCTTGATAGCTGTTGACCAGGTTATTACATGAACCTATCTAGCAAGCATTGAATACGTTTTTACTGATATCGATACTGTGTTGTTTCAGCTGAGACAGAAGGGAGTTATCGACAGTTACGAATTGTCCAAAAGGTCCGTAATGTTTTATCTTGATCAGGTAGGTTTATCTTGGAAATGAGTTTAGCTTCACAGTTATATTGAACAGTAATGAAGTAGAAATCATGGTTGTCATTAATATTGACAAAAACAAGATATTGAAAAAATTACGTGGATCAACTGTTTGAACACACTGAAGGCATGGAACGACCTGGATCCTATTTTAAGAGATTGGTTAAGAGAACGAATTCAATTAATCTTATTAATCATTGTAATAAATTATTCTACTAAGCAGAATATCCATTAAGTATCGTGACAATAGCTTCGTTGAGTCGTTGGCCTGCCTTACCTCAAATAAAGATATCAGGTGCTTGTTTCGACGCTCCCTACCCATGACAGATTTTGTTTCTCATGCAGCCAGAGTTATATGATTGTGCAGGACACTTTATCCTAAATGCTTTTAACGGCTTGCAACGGACCTCCCTAATGTTGTTCAGTGTGGTAGTCATCAGTTTATAGTTTAATATAAGGAAATTCTGCCTCAAAATGATACTTTGCGTTAAAATCAGCAAAGAGACAAACACTAACCCTATCATATGATAAACTATTATTGCGATGATGACTAAATGATGTTTATTCCAGATTCCTGCTACGGATGAAACATGCTTCAAATTCAGAGTAGTTCGTGAATTCGAGGTGGAAAATTTACAAGCTGCAAAAATTGAGGTCTATGATTATTATAAAACAGGTGTGTTCCTAGTAATATTTTCTTTTTTTAAAAATGGAAAGGTCTAGTCATGCACATCTTTACGAATATAATTTATACAAATTACAATTGCAGAATAACCTTAATTTGAGATTTACATGGCGGGTGTCGTCGATTAAGCAGCAGGTTTTTACCCTTCAATTCTGTAATGCCTGTTCTTATTATCGTTGTACTAATTCAGGGTAATCCGCGTCAAGCTGTCTTTTATTCATGTTGATTTTAAATAAGGATTCTGTTGACTTGTCGATATTTTGAGCAGTTTCCTTAAAAGACAGTTAAGTCATGTATTCATCAATGTGTTATATGTGAAGTCCCAGAATACAGATATTTTGTGATGAATTTGTCAAATATTAGCTAAATCTGAATTGCCTGAGAAACAAAATCATGACCTCTTTGTCTTTTTTCAGAGGAAAGATGTACCAAGTTTTACAGTCTGAAGTATGACGTTGCAAATCTTGACATTTTCTGTAGTACAAGTAAAAGAGAAAACTGTCATTGTGTCGAAGGTGAGTACAAGTGTGAAAATAAAATTATATTACCAGGCGAACACAAGTTTTGAATCGCCATGTACATCAAGCATTTAAAACATAGTTAGCAAATAAAGACCTAAATCTTCCGAATATGAAATTATTCTTTGCAAGTTTACCTCCTTTTAGTATCTGATGCTATTTTTTGTAGAAGTAATAGTTTTAATGAAACTCGCACATATATATTAATTTCAACAAACAAGATAAACATTTCTCCAAACACATTGTCAGTTTCCTGTTAATTTCCTATACCAGCATCTTCTTTCTCACTGTTTGGTGTTCCATGTCTTGGTTTTGTAATAACCGCTGAACGCTACTTGGACACCCTAACAACACGAAAATAGGGCGTGGCTTATTTTCTTAAAAAAAAAAAGCAAATAAAGGTTTATCTATGTGACTTGTTTTCAGAATAGCCTTAATTCTGAGATCGGTTTGTTTTCTGGTCGTGAGGTTATTTCTGTAAGAGCATTTATTATAAAATTAGTTAGGATATGTCTGGATGTTAAAATAGCTGAAATATCTGATCAGATCATGAATCTACTTTTCTGATATTACCATACGCTGTTTAACATATTACTATAATGCTATGTTGTTGGGTAGTACTTAAAACGAAAACAACAGACAAAACATTTCTTTGTATCGCGTTTGTGAGAAATCAAAGATATAATAAATAAACGAGTACAATTGACCAGTTGGTTATAAAATGACGACAAATATACAAATATAAATGTGCGTATGTATGTATTTGTTCAAGTAAATATAATGAAAATAAGCTAAGCTGACGAAACTATAAAATTGTTACCTTGGTGATGTTCTTTATCTTGCTGATTAATTCATCAAATAAATAATCTTCTTTGCTTTTGAAATGAATTTGTTTAATCCTCAAAATTCATGTAAATAACATTTTATAGATCTCCACCGAATCTTTTAACAATAGATATGCATCTTTACACAAATTATTTTTATAGGGAAATGCGCCGAGAGTTGGGACACGAAAATACGTTACGGACGGGTATCCAAGGTGATCGCTGATAATTACCGCAAAATCTGCTTTGAATTTGATTTCGGTAAGGTTTTGCCATGTATCATAAATAATGTTGTATACGTAGAAACGATAAATGCTTTTTGATATGCTTTGCTGTCAATGGGTGATTACAGATAATCGGATCTTTAATCAAAAAAAGAATGCAACATTGCCGTATTGAGAATTGTCCATTTCTTAATAGCAACTATTTAAGGGCCTGTTCCCATTTTCACTATTTTTAATGTTGTCAACTGACTGAAAATACTCGTTTCACAGTCTTTGAAAAGATGCGAGCTGATGAAAATTATGGGAAAGGTTTACGGTCGTCATTATGATATCATTGAGAAATATTTCTTTGTTGGATGTGAAGCCGGACGTGTTGGAAGCGCGTTAGTTTACCATTGTTGTATACCTTGTTCTCATTTGAGAGGGCGACATTACTTACTAGGATTGACCAAGATTTAAATGGCGTAAGTTTTCAATGAAGCAGAAGACGCTTATTCTTCCGGAACATCTGGTCATATTCTGCTTGTATTGTTTTTCATGAAACTCCATGTAAATCTCCCCTTCGGTGATGTTTTGTCTATTATTATTGAATTTGTATTTGGATAATGATTATGCTGACTTGTTGGTATTTTCTTGTTGTTTTATTTATGACATATGCTATGGTATGTATACGCAACAAGAAATGGATCCATGGTATGTATCAAGAGTTACACCCCTTCCATAACATCATCAGTGTTTTGTACCTAATGGCTTCTGTATCAAACCTTTGGAAAGTAATAAAAACTGATTAGGGACTATTTCGTTTGGCTTGAGTGAAGTATTACTTTGTTAAATTGACCAAGATTTACATAACGAGGGTTGTAGATGCAGGTCTAAGACTCTTTCAAAAGACTTCATACTTTTCTTAATGCTTCAGAGTAAATCATTATTTTGCTCATAATTTGCCTACACGTCATCAAGTTTTGTCCGTAAGTAATAAGGAATTTTCTTTTTTTTCAGTATATTTTTAATCGATTTCCGTTGTAGTAAAACATGTTTGTAATTATATGATAACATATTTTTGTTTAAGGTTATTATATTTTGTCTTGGAAATTTCAGCCCTCCGGATAGAAGTGACCAATATTGTTCAAAAAGGGAACCATATGGTAATATCAGCTGTGATTAAGGCTGTCACGAAAGCAGGTAAATCTATCGACATTTAGCTCTCCAGATTTCTTTTCCCTATGTTGCGTCCTGTGAAGAAGGATTGTTTCACTGTTTCTTCTATAAGAATTTTTTTATAAAATAAGGGATGTGCTCGTTTCTCCATGTTAGCTTCTCAGATTATATTTAAGCTGACTGCATGTGTTCATTTTGGACATTGTATTTTCTAAAAAAAAAATATGGAACCGTTTTTGTCGAACTTATTAATCTTATTTCTGTAAACAATTTTTTCGTCTTGATAGAATATTCAAAATAGCTCTAGCAGCCTTATTGTGGTTTGACTATTAAAATGTTTTTCTTATTACGTTATTTCTAATAAAATACTAATTAAACGTTCTTTAATATTAAAGATGAGATTAATATCATTATTAAATGAACACCTGATATAAAGCTTGCTCTGGTTAACAAGAGGTGTCTGACAAAGATTTTAAATATTTGTACAATATTATATGTCCTATCCGAAAAGAATATTGTTTAGGGATGAAACATTACCTCTTTTGTTTAATCACGAAACAGAAACTGAAATGTAATTTACGGTTGACCAATACATAGCTTTAATAAATGAAAATTGTTTTTCATCGTAAAGCATGAATGTACTTACTTACATCTACATTTGTAGATAAAGTTACATGTAAGATATTGTTGTTCTTAATGTAGGAGCTGAAGATTTGGCTGTAAATGATGAAATCGAATTCTGGATGAACATCAGATGTAATTTATTACTGGAAGTCGACCATAACTATATAATATACGGCATGGATGGTATTCCTTATGTAGATCAGCATGGCGTTAATCGGTAAGACAGCAACACTGAAATTTCTGTTTTTCCTATGAACAAACGATATCTTGAGATACATTTGAATACTTAAGTTAAGCAATTATGAAATCGGAATGTTAACGATTGTCTTTTGTCTCACCTGTTCATTCAGTATTTCCTCTTTGACGGCAGGAGTCAGGTCAACACAAGATCTCTTCGCCTTGTTTATATTTGTTTGCCTAAAAGATTGTTTTGTTGTACGCTACAGTGTTCCAGTGATTTGCGAAAATAAACCGATTAAATCTAACATAAATTTTATCTTATTTTCGGTATAGGTACCGTTATTTTCTGCAAGGCAAAACCGTAATTTTAAAAGACTATACACTAAGACGATACAGTACAAATACCAAACTGGAACAGTGGAGGAGAAGCTTCCGTCGAATGGAAAACTACATCCATCGTTGGGGCTGCTGATAGGAGAGATATCGTCAGCCCAACTGCTTTGGTGAATAAGGAAGATGATTACAAAGGATGGTTGTTTGTTAAGTAAGGGAGATAATCATAACATAAGATATTCCAACAATGCAAGAGAAAAAATATTTAGTTTATTACAGAACTTTTGAAGTTTGTTGTTATGTGTTGTTGATGTCGGGTAAAAACATTGAAAGGCCTTCATTTGAACAAAGAAAAGTTTGAACTATATGACTTGATATGATGGATGTCAACTGACTTATGAAACAAAAGTGATGTATTTTTTATTCAAAACTATGTTACATTAAAAATATTAAATATTAAAAACGGTTCTTGTGTGGATATATTTAAGAATACGTTGTTTATAAAACTTACAACATACTAGCCAGTGGACCTGCTACAAATATATGTGTAAGGAATCAGAAAAAAACACCTTTACTGACCATGTCATACTTGCTATTCCCTTTCATACATAGAACTTGCTACAGTTTAATTTGGCCTTTGGTTTTTTTGGCGTGTGTGTTATATTACCAAATTACGTATCTTACTAACACATTCTTGTCATAGACATGCTTACCCTGCGTAACGCAGTTACTTCAAATAGTATAAACTTTCTCGCGATGTTATCGATCGTTGGGGTTTTCCATTATGTAAATCACAATTATGTAATATTTTAAATCAAATTATCTTTTCTTTAATTTTATTTCTGAGTTATTCATACCGCGTATTTGATTATCACACATTTTGAAGGTCATAAAAAGTTATATTTGTGTGTATATTATATAATTTAGAATTGGATTCATAACAATCATTAAACACTGGCGGTCAATGTTGTGTGAAAAAATGTGAAAAGGGAGTGTGCAACAGTTGTACCATATTGCTTATTGTAATAAGTATTCGGTTACGGTTTCTAAAGTTATAGTGATTACAATAAGCAATATATTACAATGAGGGTTGGAAGAGAGAATTCCAGCTATTATAGATTAAGCTGACTCCTGTTTTTATATGTAAATAGTTTCAATGGATAGCGATATTTTCACGCATTTCCTTACTTTTTGCTCTCTGATTATTTCAGAAAAAAATTAAGGTATTTTATAATGAAACTCATTAATCATCCAGCACGTGAAATAGCAATTACGCACACTTAATCCAAGGTCAAATGCTTGTTATACACTGAAACATCTCTTTTAGAGATATGGTTTAGTACAAGTATTGAAGATACCTTACCAGTAGCAGGGGATGGGAATGGTGGTTGCGTGCACGCTGTAAACGCTTAACGAGATAATGAAATGGTATCGATGACAAAACGTATGAAAAATTGTAACGTCGCGTGCCGTTCCGAACTGATTTGGTGCATATTTTCACCGTAGTACCACAGCATCAAGTTCTAAACTTTATCATTTAAAGACAGAGTTCGGTCAGGGTATGTATTATTGGTTTCAAATATTGGAGTATGAAATGAACAAGGTCCAGCAAGGTTTCTATATAAAATGACTGTTGGCGGTTCCGTAGTTCTATCATATGAATATTGAAAATTGGGCACAGCTCGAGACAAAGTTGATGTGAGATAACATGCCTGCATCGTTTGGTGAATATTTAAAAGCAGGAGTGAGCGATTAAGACAAAAACCAGAAACAATAAACAAAACATGTTATAAGAATGAACATGGCAGTATCTTATTCATTGAAAATCATACGTTAAATTGTGGAAAACATATATATTTGATCTGAGGTGAGGAAAATAGGCCACACAATCCGCTTTAGGCTGATAAATATGAACATTCCTCATCATTAATAAATAATGTTAGTGTCAAGAGGAAGTCGTGAATATTTTTTCTTCAAAAATATAAATGCGTATGAGAATTTCCACATTATATATAGAAATCAATTTGCCATTTGAAATTTCCCCTTGCAGAGAGAAATCGATTTTGTAGTGAGAAATTTCCCCTCGCGTATAAAAGTCGATATTGTCGTGAGAAATTCTACGTGGTGTATTAAATCGATATTGTCGAACAATGACTGATCATGCTGATAATTAGATCCATTAGTTTAACAAGTTATTGAGGTCTGAAACTGAGCATCAGCTGTACACGTAGTGAATATTTCATACGTACTTTGTGGTAGCTCAATATGTCTTTCTTAATTACTTAATTATCATGGGATAATTAAGCGTCTTATTAATACCACTGACACCCGTAGACATTAACTTTGAATATGATTCTTTTCATTAGAAATATAACGCCGAGATTGTTTACTACCAGAATGTTAAGATCCACATTACATTGCTTTATTCGAACTTTAATGTACACAGTAAACAGTGTTTGTTTATACACTACATTACCGGATCTCCCAAACACATCAATGTATACAACCACTTGCGTCACATCCTTTAAAACGTGTAAATTATCCGAATGTAGAATCAGGAAATCTATCGATTCCGATTTCATTTGATACAACGATGCTGATCTTATGTTGTTTTCGGAATGTCATCTTTTCGTGATTTATGGTATTTCCTTTTTAATATCCGATGCGTTGATATTGACAATTGTGCGGATATATACGTGTATTTATATGTGTATTCATATGTGTATAATTGTAATCTGCTTTGTCACACTTCGACATATACAAGAGATATATAGTTCTGATGACGGAATGATGTGTTGACATTATCGAAACACAGGTATACTATTACTTTTTGTTTATCTCAGTTTGCTATTTTTAAAATTTCGATTCATCAATATTAATCTATACTAGCTGAAAAAAGAAACAAACGCATGTTTAGTTTTTGTAATATAACTTTTAGACATATGGACAAAATGTAATTAAATTTGACACTGAGCTACCTACGTGAACTGTAAAAATGCTCTTCAGTTAAAATTCAGCCGTCCTTGACCCCGCTCGACGCTGCATGCTTTCAGCAAATTTTTCTAGAATCCGGAATACTCTTGCGCTTTATATGCTGGTCAATCATAACAAATCGAGCATTGCAACAGTACAGCTGTACATTATTTCTTTTCGAAGCGATTGTAGAGCGAAATACTGCGATTGAATGAAGTGGATAGTGGTAGTGCCATTGCCCTGAAAATACAGGGGCAACGTCATGTAGCCCAACAATATGGTGTACATGAGACAACAATGTCCCGTTTAGTTGGGCGTCTTAGAGTCAGAGAGAGGATGGATGACCGTGACAGGAGCGGACGCCCGCGTGTTACGTCGCGTCGTCAAGATAAAGGCATACGTCTCTCGCACCTCCGTAATCAATTTCAGACGGCGACGGAGACGGTGCGCCAAGTTGTTGGCACTCATGGTCAGCCAGTGTGTCCAAGAACGGTCAGGAATCAGTTGCGGTAGTTATATATAAGGCCACGACGTCCCTGTGTACGTCCGCCACTTTCGCAGAGTCGACGCAAACGTCGAATGCAGTGGCTGTTTGCATATGAACCTCTACGGTTTCGTATTGGAAACGCGTGTTGTTCAATGGCGAGTCTCGCTTCACGCGTAGCAGGTCACACGGACGACAACGTGTTTATCAACGTCGTGGTGAGAGATTTTCTGACGCTTGCGTAACAGAAAGCGAAAGATTCGACGGAGTGTATGTTATGGTATGGGCAGGGATATCTCAAGGCGCGAAAACACCTCTTGTGGATATCCATGGAAATTTTACAGCAGTAACATAGCGAGATTAGGTCCTTCTTCTTATCCATCAACTTAGCCTTACGTTGCAGCAGGACTACGCGAGACCCCATGCTGCTAAGGTTTTTCGTGACTTTCTGGCTCACAACAACGTTTCAGTTCTTGCTTGGGCACCATACAGTCCAGATTTGTCCCAGTAGAGCTATTATGGGACGAGCTGGACAGGAGGGTTAAGAAGCATGTTAATGCCCCATAAAACGTCTCCCAGCTCACGCAGGCCTTTATTCAGGAGTGGAATAATATCCCTCAAATGACAATAAACACCTTGTTGGGGTTAATGTTAAGTTGAGTAAGAGCGGCTACTGAGGCCTGGGGTGGACACACACGCTACTGATTATGATCAGGAACGGCATAGAATACCCTTGTTTTAACTCTATTTACGCGAATGCCGTGTGGGATAGGACAACAAAAATCACCAAAATGTATTCAATAATGATGAAAGAATCAGGAAACTCAAACAATGAACTAATCATCAATGAATCATGTAAAATAATAGTTATCGACAATAAAAAAAAATCCGCTAGTCTATAACGTCAGTATATCTATGGGAATAAAATTTATCAATTACAATAGTGCATTGTTACTTCAAACAAAATCTTTAATATCATTCTGCCTTTAATATCTGTTTACTAGTATATCTTTCCGTCTTTACGAATCATCTTATTCTAATGAAATTTAACATTGTTAGCATATCACCGGCAGACCAAACAATAGAATATGGAATATAACTGCCATGGATTAAAATTAGCATCATGTAGAATATTTTTGCGGTTTGAGATGATTCTTGATTGTGCAGTTGTTTTCAATGAGTTATATTTGTCTTTTTTAGGAGTAAATTAAATTGTGAAATATAAATTAATTCAAACATAAATTTTAAAAGAGATAATCTTAGACATTTTTATGACTTCCATGAAAAATGCTTAAATATATCCGTAAAAGCCTTGAAAATAAACTACTTAAAACAGCCATTACAGTATGATAATATAGCTGACAGACATGTAACACTGCGTCCTCTGAACAGATGAAAATCTTTACTTTAAGCCATTACAGAAAAGGCTGAAACGTTGAGTGATATATTGAAAAAAAATCTATTATATCATTTCCCGACACCCTAGAGCTTTATAAATATTTTAGTACGTAAACAGAGTTAGCACCGTACTTAAATAATAAATGATATAACATATAGATATATTGTCAGCACCACGGATTAAATCATTGACCGATTTAGTGGTACAAAAGTTATCATTGAATCAGAAATTAGATTAGATAAACATTGACAAGTTATTGCGTACAGGGTCCGATGATGTTGTACACATTCCGATGCGCAATTATCTGCCGGGGTTATGTTTATCAGTTCGTGTGAACTTTTACAGTACACTTGATAACCTACGCACAAGTCTAAAGGTATCAGAGGGCAAAGACTTACCGAACAAATGAATAATGAAGCACATTTAGAAATCTAGATCTGCTATGTAGAAAGTTAAGCATAGGGAAAACATCATTGATACTTAATAAAATATCTTTAATCAATTTTACACTGCTTAATGTTAATTTCCAAATATGTGTAGTATACAGAAAATAGTTTAAAGTCACTTAAATAATTGCTTTTGTGAGTCATTCGTGTTATAGGGGAGGGGAATAGGGATGTCCTTTTTTTCATATAACTATATGTTTGTTTTCTCGCAATGTTTGTAATAAGAGCTGTACAGATGGCGGTATCCTTGTTTATTTATGAAACCAGTCATTATTTTGTTATGTGAATTCACATTTGAATTTTGAATTCAATCTGAATAACCCTTTTCTGCAAAAGTTGGATTTTGATGAAAATTATCCCGGTGTAAACAAACCATAGGTAGCATTTACACATATCAGACTAAAGAAAAACGGACAAAAATTGAATTCTATTTCAAATAAAAACTAAAAAAATGTAACATTGAAAAATCTGATATTGACAACAGAAGTATAACACACATATTCACAATCAATAACACCTTATGCCAAACATGGGAGTATTTATAAGATTTCATACTTACTGCTACATAATTGCCAAGAACATCCATTCAGCTGCCGCTCTTGACCTTTTTAAACATTGAGTTACGGCATATATATATATATATAAATATACCCACAATTGTGTTTTATTATCTCACAAAATTGAATTCTTAACTGTTTTCCAGGACTATGTTAATAAAAAGGGAATCTAACATACGTTTAGTGACACGGTATTTATTTTCAGACAATATGTTTAAAAAAATCACTTACATGCTACAGTATTACAAATTACAGATATAGCAACGAAGTAAAAACAGTATATAAGACTATGATATAAGCAAGTTACACCGTCACCATTACGCCCGCAAAACGGCAAGTTACAACCCACAAAAAATCACAATATCGACTCACAGTGAAATACCATCTGTGAGACCACTGTGTAAGCATTTGGATACATTACAATTACAGCAGCGTCATCTAAACACAAATTAACCCTTATGTTCTACACACTGCGACAAAATATGCCACTGAGGCAGACCCTGGCGACATCCTTGCGGTGAAACACAACAAAAGATCCAAAGAAGCTGCTGCAGAAATACCGGGCGTTCTCGTTATGTCATGCGGTGTTCGGTATCGGGGAATTGTAATCTTTGAATAATTTCTTATTCCATGATGAATATCGATCGACTTATTATGATCACATCAGGTTTCGATGTAAAACGTGGAAAGTTACATTGTATTATCATTCAATTCCTGTGACTGTTCCCTAACTGTGATGACCATGTTATCGATTTGACGACTGCTTGTATTGACCGGGCGGTTCGCAAGTATAAATAGCAGTCATTTTATCAGGACGAGTGTAACACAGTTACACAGACACAGTTTACAGGGGTGGTGATGACATGGATCATGCTTTGCTTCACAGGATTACATTTTGATCAAACAGCCAGACAGACATAACACAAACTCCTGATCGAATGAAACAAAGCAGATGAAAAATGGTCCAGGTCGGACAGTTCTACCAAGGCTCGAGACTTCTTCAGCCATTATGTGATATTATTGGGCTTCCAGTCGACCAGGTAGGTAAACGCTGAACACCGTATAATCAACATAGCTTCACTATATGCTTAAATAAGTGCAGTCTAATTGCTAAGGATATCATGATAAGCTTCCTCCCATTATTCTAATGAATTATTTCTGTCAAATACAAAATCTAACATCGGAGAGTTAAATATACACTGACATTTTGTGTGATACTGCCTTTATCATCTACTAAAATGAGCAAGTCAGGAACTGCCTTCCATTATAAATATGCCTTTAAGCCTGCATGTTAAACATCGATAATCATTATTTGAAAGTCAGCGTATATTGAAAATTGTGTTCGCGAACATTCCTTAGGTATTTCCAGATATTTGAGCACATAGTATACAAATGAAATACAAAGTCATTCCGTTAGATAACGAGAATAACGTTCCCACTTGAGTTTATACATGTATCATAACCAGTATCTATGACCTGTACAATCTGTATGTATATATATATATATATATGCATGTTACCTGAATGTACTCCAAAATACAGCTGTTGCAGTATCGTTTATAAATATGCAAGTTTTATGTAAATTCATCAATACAGATATGTGGTGGAAAAATGAAATAAAACATAAAGTCGATAGTAATTTGAATAAATGATTCAAAACCATTAGTTACCAGGATAAACGATAAGGTTTTGTCGGCAGTTTTACATGCTTGATGTGAATAGAGTGTGTTGGTCATATCCTTAAGAAAAAGTATAAATGGTACTTTCTTTTACTACAAAAACATTTTTTTCTTTTGATTTCGTATCTTTGTTCGCGTGGAATGGAAGCAAAGTCTGTTTCGTTGGGGTTTGAGTGGTGTGGTTTTTGGGCGAGAGTGTCCCTGCCTGAGTGGTGTTATTGTCAAATAGTACACATTAAGTTTGGTTAGGATTTACGTGTAGGGTAAGACAATGTCTGTTTGAATGATTTATTGTGGAGTGTTGAGACAGTGTCTGTTTGTATGGTGTTATTGTGGAGTTTTGAGACAGTGTCTGTTTGTATGGGGTTATTGTGGAATGCTGAGACAGCGTCTGTTTGTATGGTTTATTGTGAAGTGTTGAGACTGTGTCTGTTTGTATGTTGTTATTGTGGAATGTTGAGACTGTGTCTGTTTGTATGTTGTTATTGTGGAATGTTGAGACTGTGTCTGTTTGCATGTTGTTATTGTGAAGTGTTGAAACAGCGTCTGTTTGTATGGTTTTCTTGTGGAGTGTTGAGATAGTCCTTGTTTGTATGGTTTTATTGTGGAGTGTTGAGATAGTCCTTGTTTGTATGGTTTATTGTGGAGTGTTGAGATAGTCCTTGTTTGTATGGTTTATTGTGGAGTGTTGAGACAGTGTCGGTTTGTATGGTTTTATTGTGAAGTGTTGAGACAGTGTCTATTTGTATGGTGTTATTGTGGAGTGTTGAGATAGTCCTTGTTTGTATGGTTTATTGTGGAGTGTTAAGACAGTGTCGGTTTGTATGGTTTTATTGTGAAGTGTTGAGACAGTGTCTGTTTGTATGGTGTTATTGTGGAGTGTTGAGATAGTCCTTGTTTGTATGGTGTTATTGTGGAGTGTTGGGATAGTGTCTGTTTGTATGGTGTTATTGTGGAGTGTTGAGACAGTGTCTGGAGTGTTGAGACAGTGTCTGTTTGTATGGTTTTATTGTGGAGTGTTGAGATAGTCCTTGTTTGTATGGTTTATTGTGGAGTGTTGAGATAGTGTCTGTTTGTATGGTGTTATTGTGGAGTGTTGAGACAGTGTCTGTTTGTATGGTGTTATTGTGGAGTGTTGAGACAGTGTCTGTTTGTATGGTGTTATTGTGGAGTGTTGAGACAGTGTCTGTTTGTATGGTGTTATTGTGGAGTGTTGAGACAGTGTCTGTTTGTATGGTGTTATTGTGGAGTGTTGAGACTGTATCTGTTTGTATGGTGTTGTTGTGGAGTGTTGAGACTGTATCTGTTTGTATGGTTTTATTGTGGAGTGTTGAGATAGTCCTTGTTTGTATGGTTTATTGTGGAGTGTTGAGACAGTGTCTATTTGTATGGTGTTATTGTGAAGTGTTGAGTCAGTGTCTGTTTGTATGGTTTTATTGTGGAGTGTTGAGATAGTCCTTGTTTGTATGGTTTATTGTGGAGTGTTGAGATAGTGTCTGTTTGTATGGTGTTATTGTGGAGTGTTGAGACAGTGTCTCTATTTGTATGGTGTTATTGTGGAGTGTTGAGATAGTCTTTGTTTGTATAGTGTTATTGTGGAGTGTTGAGACAGTGTCTGTTTGTATGGTGTTATTGTGGAGTGTTGAGATAGTCCTTGTTTGTATGGTGCTATTGTGGAGTGTTGAGACAGTGTCTGTTTGTATGGTGTTATTGTGGAGTGTTGAGACAGCGTCTGTTTGTACGGTGTTGTTGTGGAGTGTTGAGACAGTGTCTGTTTGTATGGTGTTGTTGTGGAGTGTTGAGACAGTGTCTGTTTGTATGGTTTTATTGTGGAGTGTTGAGACAGTGTCTGTTTGTATGGTGTTATTGTGGAGTGTTGAGACAGTTGTTTTTGTGTTATTGGAGTGTTGAGAGTGTCTGTTCTGTTTGTATGGTGTTATTGTTGTTTGTTTGTATGGTGTTATTGTGGAGTGTTGAGATAGTCCTTTTTTGTATGGTGTTATTGTGGAGTGTTGAGATAGTCATTGTTTGTATGGTGTTATTGTGGAGTGTTGAGACAGTGTCTGTTTGTATGGTGTTATTGTGGAGTGTTGAGACAGTGTCTGTTTGTATGGTGTTATTGTGGAGTGTTGAGACAGTGTCTGTTTGTATGGTGTTGTTGTGGAGTGTTGAGACAGTGTCTGTTTGTATGGTGTTATTGTGGAGTGTTGAGACAGTGTCTGTTTGTATGGTGTTATTGTGGAGTGTTGAGACAGTGTCTGTTTGTATGGTGCTATTGTGGAGTGTTGAGACAGTGTCTATTTGTATGGTGTTATTGTGTCTGTTTGTAGTGTTATTTGAGACAGTGTCTGTTTGTATGGTGTTATTGTGGAGTGTTGAGACAGTGTCTGTTTGTATGGTGTTATTGTGGAGTGTTGAGATAGTCCTTGTTTGTATGGTTTATTGTGGAGTGTTGAGATAGCGTCTGTTTGTATGGTGTTATTGTGGAGTGTTGAGATAGTCCTGGTTTGTATGGTGTTATTGTGGAGTGTTGAGATAGTGTCTGTTTGTATGGTGTTATTGTGGAGTGTTGAGACAGTGTCTGTTTGTATGGTGTTATTGTTGAGTGTTGAGACAGTGTCTGTTTGTATGGTGTTATTGTGGAGTGTTGAGATAGTCCTTGTTTGTATGGTGCTATTGTGGAGTGTTGAGACAGTGTCTGTTTGTATGGTGCTATTGTGGAGTGTTGAGACAGTGTCTAATTGTATGGTGTTATTGTGGAGTGTTGAGACAGTGTCTGTTTGTATGGTGCTATTGTGGAGTGTTGAGACAGTGTCTGTTTGTATGGTGTTATTGTGGAGTGTTGAGACAGTGTCTGTTTGTATGGTGTTATTGTGGAGTGTTGAGATAGTCCTTGTTTGTATGGTTTATTGTGGAGTGTTGAGACAGTGTCTATTTGTATGGTGTTATTGTGGAGTGTTGAGACAGTGTCTGTTTGTATGGTGTTATTGTTGAGTGTTGAGACAGTGTCTGTTTGTATGGTGTTATTGTGGAGTGTTGAGACAGTGTCTATTTGTATGGTGTTATTGTGGAGTGTTGAGATAGTCTTGTTTGTATGGTGTTATTGTGGAGTGTTGAGATAGTGTCTGTTTGTATAGTGTTATTGTGGAGTGTTGAGACAGTGTCTATTTGTATGGTGTTATTGTGGAGTTTGATATAGTCATTGTTTGTATGGTGCTATTGTGGAGTGTTGAGACAGTGTCTGTTTGTATGGTGTTATTGTGGAGTGTTGAGACAGTGTCTGTTTGTATGGTTTTATTGTGAAGTGTTGAGACAGTGTCTGTTTGTATGGTGTTATTGTGGAGTGTTTGTATAGTGGAGTGTTGTGTTTGTATGGTGCTATTGTGGAGTGTTGAGACAGTGTCTGTTTGTATGGTGCTATTGTGGAGTGTTGAGACAGTGTCTATTTGTATGGTGTTATTGTGGAGTGTTGAGATAGTCCTTTTTTGTATGGTGTTATTGTGGAGTGTTGAGACAGTGTCTGTTTGTATGGTGTTATTGTGGAGTGTTGAGACAGTGTCTATTTGTATGGTGTTATTGTGAAGTGTTGAGTCAGTGTCTGTTTGTATGGTGTTATTGTGGAGTGTTGAGATAGTGAGACATGTCTGTTTGTATGGTGTTGTTGTGGAGTGTTGAGACAGTGTCTGTTTGTATGGTGTTATTGTGGAGTGTTGAGACAGTGTCTGTTTGTATGGTGTTATTGTTGAGTGTTGAGACAGTGTCTGTTTGTATGGTGTTATTGTGGAGTGTTGAGACAGTGTCTATTTGTATGGTGTTATTGTGGAGTGTTGAGATAGTCTTTGTTTGTATAGTGTTATTGTGGAGTGTTGAGACAGCGTCTGTTTGTATGGTGTTATTGTGGAGTGTTGAGACAGTGTCTGTTTGTATGGTGTTATTGTGGAGTGTTGAGATAGTCCTTTTTTGTATGGTGTTATTGTGGAGTGTTGAGACAGTGTCTGTTTGTATGGTGTTATTGTTGAGTGTTGAGACAGTGTCTGTTTGTATGGTGTTATTGTGGAGTGTTGAGACAGTGTCTGTTTGTATGGTGTTATTGTGGAGTGTTGAGATAGTCCTTGTTTGTATGGTGTTATTGTGGAGTGTTGTTGAGATAGTGTCTGTTTGTATGGTGTTATTGTGGAGTGTTGAGACAGTGTCTGTTTGTATGGTGTTATTGTGGAGTGTTGAGATAGTCCTTGTTTGTATGGTGCTATTGTGGAGTGTTGAGACAGTGTCTGTTTGTATGGTGTTATTGTGGAGTGTTGAGATAGTCCTTGTTTGTATAGTTTTATTGTGGAGTGTTGGGATAGTGTCTGTTTGTATGGTGTTATTGTGGAGTGTTGAGACAGTGTCTGTTTGTATGGTGTTATTGTGGAGTGTTGAGACAGTGTCTGTTTGTATGGTGTTATTGTGGAGTGTTGAGATAGTCCTTGTTTGTATGGTGTTATTGTGGAGTGTTGAGACAGTGTCTGTTTGTATGGTTTATTGTGGAGTGTTGAGATAGTCTGGTTTGTATGGTGTTTTGTATGGTGTTATTGTGGAGTGTTGAGACAGTGTCTGTTTGTATGGTGTTATTGTGGAGTGTTGAGACGGTGTCTGTTTGTATGGTGTTATTGTGGAGTGTTGAGATAGTCCTGGTTTGTATGGTGTTATTGTTGAGTGTTGAGACAGTGTCTGTTTGTATGGTGTTATTGTGGAGTGTTGAGACAGTGTCTATTTGTATGGTGTTATTGTGGAGTGTTGATATAGTATTGTGGAGTGTTGAGACAGTGTCTATTTGTATAGTGTTATTGTGGAGTGTTGAGATAGTCCTTGTTTGTATGGTGTTATTGTGGAGTGTTGAGACAGTGTCTGTTTGTATGGTGTTATTGTGGAGTGTTGGGATAGTGTCTGTTTGTATGGTGTTATTGTGGAGTGTTGAGACAGTGTCTGTTTGTATGGTGTTGTTGTGGAGTGTTGAGACAGTGTCTGTTTGTATGGTTTTATTGTGGAGTGTTGAGATAGTCCTTGTTTGTATGGTGTTATTGTGGAGTGTTGAGATAGTCCTTGTTTGTATGGTGTTATTGTGGAGTGTTGAGACAGTGTCTGTTTGTATGGTTTTATTGATAAGCATTGAGAAAGCGTCGGTTTGAATGGTTTTAATGTGAAGTGTTGAGACAGTGTCTATTTGTATGGTGTTATTGTGGAGTGTTGAGACAGCGTCTGATTGTATGGTTTATTGTGGAGTGTTGAGACAGTGTCTGTTTGTATTGTGTTTTGATGGAGTTATGAGACAGTTCTCTTTGTGGTTAGGATGGGTCGGTAAAATGTTTTTGCATAATCTGTTTTATTTATTTTCGGATTAGACGAAGACTTTGAAGCTACAAGCTTGTCAGTCTTTTTTTCTTTTGTTTCACTTGTCTCCTAGTTGTCAACAGACAATTTCTTTCGCCTGTAATAACAAAATTTTATTTAGAAAACGTCAGATTTACTTCATAACAAACATTTCCAATACACCAGTTTGTTTTCTATTCAAATGTTTTGATGTAAGTGGAGCTGTGAGTGGGCGATACAATAGCGTCAATTTACATGCATCAACTCTGAGAGTCGATTCTTCTACCAGAGAGAAGACATTGCGAAGACGGAGAAAGGCACTTTTATTTATATTAGAGAAATCCAATCGTTGGTTTCATTCAATAGGTGCAGTACAGACATCCTTGAATACACAGCATTCTGCTGTGCATATAAACCTGTGTCTTGATATCACGACTATTGCTTCCGGTCCATGTGTGTAATGTAATACGGAATTTAATAAACAAGATTAATGATTTGATCTGTCAAGAGTCTTAAGGATAACCACATATCAAGTTATTGAACAACTTTAATATCTTCCATATTACATAGGCACGACTGTAAGATTCTATTTATCATACAACCCATATTTCTGAAAAGTAACTGAAAACTTGAAATAATTCTCTTCTCTAAGGCAAACTTGTTTCAACATGAACGGCAGTATTTTTTGCTACCAACACAACCATGTGACGTCATCAAGACGTGACTTACTTATGATTGTCCAGTGACTGAGGTCCGATATATATGTCTGCCGATATGTTTGCTACCTCTGAATATCGAATCACAATATTGACGAAATGACCTCGCTATGCCGAGATATTTAATACTATTTGAAAGTAAGAGGCAATATTTCTCGAAGTCAGCAGACAGACGGGACATCTTTCTTTATCAATACTTAACATATCTTTATTTTCCTTATATATTTGTGTGTGTATATATTTTACGAATGAAAAAAAAGAAAGGTTTCCATGAAACGTTGAACGCTTACTTAGAAACAAAATTGATATGTGCTGCTCATTCAAACCATAACCAAACTTCGTTGATGAATATTGAATCCCTTTTTTGGCATATTCAGTAATTAGTTAAAATCACGTTAACGTGACTGAGATAATGTATGTTCTGTCGGCACTATACGCTTAGACACACTGTATTTTTCTTTCCAGATCAATTTCCTGGCCTGTTTCGTTATAGCTTTTTCCAGCGGAGTATTGATGCGGAAGGCAATCCCTGCAGGCAGGGACAGAGCAACACAACGGCATGTCTTCGAGTTATCGCTAGGCCTTGCCATGGGCTATTTCTGCTTCGGATAGTAAGTTCACACAAGTAAAACAATATTGATGTGTTACAGTGTAATTCATTAATTTAATTATCAAAATTATGTTATGATACTGAGAACGTCCAGATTGTAATCTGAGTGACAGATTGAATAAACCCTTTACATTCACACTATCTAATGTGTAGTGTGCGACATGTTAAGTTATAACGAGGCTACAACTGTGTCGTATTTCACACTGTCCTGTGTGTAGTGTGTGTGACACGTTAAAACGAGGGTATTTCACAAGTGTGTGTCATAGTTCACACTGTCCTGTGTGTAGTGTGTGTGATACGTTAAGTTATAACGAGGCTACAACTGTGTCGTATTTCACACTGTCCTGTGTGTAGTGTGTGTGACACGTTAAAACGAGGGTACAACTGTGTCGTATTTCACACTGTCCAGTGTGTAGTGTGTGTGACGCGTTAAGTTATAACGAGGCTATATCTGTGTCGTATTTCACACTGTCCTATGTGTAGTGTGTGTGACGCGTTAAGTTATAACGAGGCTACAACTGTGTCGTATTTCACACTGTCCTGTGTGTAGTGTTTGTGACACGTTAAATCGAGGGTACAACTGTGTCGTATTTCACAATGTACAGTGTGTAGTGTATGTGTGACACGTTAGGTTATAACGAGGCTACATCTGTGTCATATTTCACACTGTCCTGTGTGTAGTGTGTGTGACACGTTATAACGAGGCTACAACTGTGTCATATTTCATACTGCCCTATGTGTAGTGTTTGTGACACGTTAAAACGAGGGTACAACTGTGTCATATTTCACACTGTCCTGTGTGTTGTGTGTGTGACGCGTTAAGTTAAAACGAGACTACAGCTGCGTCGTATTTCACACTGTCCTATGTGTAGTATGTGTGACACGTTAAGTTATAACGAGGCTACAGCTGTGTCGTATTTCACACTGTCCTGTGTGTAGTGTGTGTGACACGTCAAGTTATAACGAGGCTACATCTGTGTCGTATTTCACACTGTCCTGTGTGTACTGTGTGTGACACGTCAAGTTATAACGAGGCTACATCTGTGTCGTATTTCACACTGTCCTATGTGTAGTGTGTGTGACACGTCAAGTTATAACGAGGCTACATCTGTGTCGTATTTCACACTGTCCTATGTGTAGTGTGTGTGACACGTCAAGTTATAACGAGGCTACATCTGTGTCGTATTTCACACTGTCCTATGTGTAGTGTGTGTTACACGTTAAGTTATAACGAGGATACAACTGTGACGTATTTCACACAGTGTTATGTTTACCATAGTTACAGTATATTTGTTAGAACGTATTAACTGTCAGTAAAACATCTTGTCATTATAACAAATGTTTTTTCCTCTGATGACTTTCGTATTTGTAGCCAGTCTTTAAGGTCAGAATTTTACTGATGTTTGTCATATCGTTATACTAACATATTGATGGCATCAACGGAAAGTATTTACAATACAATTTTATTGTTTAATCACTCTAATGAAACAGATCATAGCCCAACTAAAATCTACTCAGATGTTTTGACCACAAATCATTTTTTCAATAATTCATATATTGGTGATGTCATCTGAAATACTAAAAGTATGACCTTTTTATCCTATGAAATAAAAACTCTTGAATATATTTGTTATTTGTAGAAATCCAACATGTTACCAGTTTAGTAAGTTGTTCAAGTCAGCTGATATATCAATGAATAGACTTTACTGAATTGTTATATCCAAACCTATAACCGATAGCAAAAATTCTGAAACTAAATATATGGACATTTATGTTGCATACCTGTATACCAGTGTATATCTTCATTGGACGAAATTTAACCCTCATGAAATATCGCAAATAGGGCCAAACGCAAATTATCAACCCTGCGAAATCAAACAACTATATAGTATTTATAATCTATCGTTTGTGTTGTGATCAGAAATTGAAATATTGTCAAACAAGCAGTTCAAAAATCAAGTCCGAAAACAGGCAGACCTTCGCATTGTTCCGAGTTAAACATTTAGGAAATATAACCGCATGTTATGTGAGGCAAATTCTTTATTCAATATTGCCTAACAAATCGCCACGAATTGAACCTGAATATTGAGTTATGAAAAATTGTTATTGTTAAGTATAGAATGATTAAACAAAATACTAATTAATGACAAATGTTCTGTAAATACAATATTTCCTAGATATTGTTAAGCTTTGAGTAACTAAACCATACACAAAATATTGATACATTTCCTATACATTGTCAAGTCTTGAGTGACTAAAACATACACTATATATTGCCAAGCCTTGGGTGACTAAACCAAACACTATATATTGCCAAGCCTTGAGTGACTAAACCAAACACTATATATTGCCAAGCCTTGAGTGACTAAACCAAACACTATATATTGCCAAGCCTTGAGTGACTAAACCAAACACTATATATTGCCAAGCCTTGAGTGACAAAAACATACACTTAATATTGATACATTTCCTAAATATTTCCATGTCTTCAGTGACTAAAAAACACTCAATATTGGTACATTTCCTATATATTGCCAAGCCTTGAGTGACTAAACCATACACTATGTTGCCAAGTCTTGAGTGACTAAAACATACACTGATTATTGCCAAGTCTTGAGTGACTAAAACATACACTGATTATTGCCAAGCCTTGAGTGACTAAAACTTACACTAAATATTGCCAAGCCTTGAGTGACTAAACTATACAGTATATATTGACAAGCCTTGAGTGACTAAACCAAACACTATATATTGCCAAGCCTTGAGTGACTAAACCAAACACTATATATTGCCAAGCCTTGAGTGACTAAACCAAACACTATATATTGCCAAGCCTTGAGTGACTAAACCAAACACTATATATTGCCAAGCCTTGAGTGACTAAACCAAACACTATATATTGCCAAGCCTTGAGTGACTAAACCATACAGTATATATTGCCAAGCCTTGAGTGACTAAACCAAACACTATATATTGCCAAGCCTTGAGTGACTAAACCATACAGTATATATTGCCAAGCCTTGAGTGACTAAACCATACAGTATACTAGTATATTGACAAATGTCCTATAGTAGGTTTATTGTTACAGTCAGCTGATTCACCTATTGCTCTACTCGACACTGCCTTACCTCCTGGTGCTGTACGGGCCGAGGCGTTCCTACCACACACTCGTCTTCACTGTTGCCTTTGCGTACATTGTGATAATGCACTCCTATCGATTGTTCTATGACTATGGAGGGTTTTCCTTAGACGTCACCGGGTAAGACACTGACGGTTCTCATTACATTATCATTATTTAATTACCCTTTTGTTGAAGGCTATAAAATCCTTTTATTTTATGACTGTCAAGTCTTGACATCTTAATCAGTCAAAATACCTCTCATAGGTCTAAATATAGTGCGATGTCACACCGAAACAGGCAGAATCTTTTCACACAAGGGGATATAACAGTTCCAAATTTCTATCAGTGTCTCTCAGGTGACTATAAAAATCCGGTAACTTTTGCTTCTGTTTTTGACAAAGTCTGTAAAATAATCATATTGTCGATGAGTTGGTTTGCAGGAATTTAATTTATTTGATGTTTCGTAAATTTCTGTACACCTCATTTATCCTACTTAGCCAAAAACGATGACGTTGGGATAACTGTGGTTACGTCATCATTCTTGAAGAATACTAATTAATTCATGCTTTGTCCGACAGGCCTATGATGTTGATGACACAGAAAGTAACTAGTGTAGCCTTTTCTGTACATGACGGGATGGAGGTCCCGGATGATAAACTCTCAGATGATCAAAGAAAAAACTGTATCAGGTAAACATTTAACTTATTTTTAAAATTCGGATGAAATAATACAATATATGGATAATCAAAAACATTTTATAGAAACTGTAACTTATGTGATCATAATTTAGCACATTGTTTCCGACAGGAAAACCACCAACATAACATAACCACTAAAGGTTGTATTTACATAGGGGTTATTTGTTATTTTTCTTTGTACAAGAATCATGTTAATAATCGTGGTTCACGTGAATTTATAACCATGAAACTTTCGAGATGACCAGGGTATGTGAGAAACACTATATTTTGTCTGTGATATTTATTTTCTGATATCTATGCCTTCGTGATCAGTTTTTCTGTTTTATCCATCAGAGAGAAACCGTCCATGTTGGAGTATTATAGCTACATGTTTTCCTTTCACAACATTATGGCCGGCCCTCTCGTGTTTTACACAGACTACCTCAGCTTTATAGACGGGTCTAGCACTAAAGTTCCGCCGCCGAAACAGGTAGGTGAAACAAGGCTACCTCACACCTACAATACTATATTTAGCAAACAGGGCTGTATACAAGCTGAGATACATAGACACTCGAAGACTGGTAAAAATTAATCCTGAAGGAAAAGATATTTACAAAATATCAATATTTCAATAACGGTTGACAGACAGATATTGTATTACATTATTAAAAATACCAAAACTATCTTTTGAAATTAGAGAAATTTACATATTTAATAACTTGTAATTGTTTTAAAGAATGCAACTCCTTCAAATCAGTATGTTTGGAAAAAAAACAAAAACAAAAACACAAAGTATATGACGATCTGAATTGAAACCGGTAGCCTACCGATTTTTTTTTTCTAGACTGAGACCAACTGACTTAAAAGGGGAAATAACTCTGGAAAATACATCTTGAAACGTTAGATAATTGTCCTCAAATGTTAAGCAACAAGCCTATGAGGTATAGCTTCATAAATGATTCTGTGCAATATTTTCCCCCTTTTTTATGCAAGTTAATTTCTGGTTACTCGAAGATATAGACAAAATGCCTATTCAAAACAGATTGTAATTACTGGTAAGGATATTCACGCACAAAGGGCTTATAGACGAATCTCCTTGTAAACTAAGGAAGTAATATACCTTCGATATGACGTGTTTACAAAGGTTACTTTACTTTTGGTAAATTGGTTTTGTCTGTTTCAGGATAATAATCACAACAGCAAGACGAGAGAACCATCTCCAAATGTAAGTATAAATTATAAATAAGGCCATGGCAACAGAAATTTACTTCAAACCCAGAATAGCTGAAACTAGAGCGAACTATGAACGACAAAAGATGCTTGACACCTTAAATCAAAGAAAAACTGTAATTAATTCTCCTCTGTCAACAGAGAATCAATGTTCGATAAATTATTCACGTCATTCAAATAAATTTGCTGAATACAAGAATGAGGAATCTGGGTATATTGTGTTCATGACACATATCTAGGCATGTAAAAGTGGAAAGTTTTACAGACGTCATAACAATCTCATTGGTGAATAATATATTCGTCTATGTGAAAGGAAGTTGGAGGAGTTTGATTCTCGTAAGCCTAGCTGTGGTTCGGTTGTTGTTTACATGGTACATATATGGGAACGTGACATCACCTGTTTGGATAGACAAAGATTTACACCAGGAGGGGGTGGGGGTCGATTAAGCAAAAAAAGGTATCGATTTTCACCTTGATGTTTCTACAAAAGAAACATTTCTTTTGTAAAAGCATTGTAGTCCACAGACTGAGGTATTACATTATGATCTGTAGTCCACGGACTGAGGTGTTACATTATGATCTGTAGTCCACGGACTGAGGTGTTACATTGTGATCTGTAGTTGTGATCTGTAGTCCACGGACTGAGGTGTTACATTATAATCACTATTGTAGTCCACGGACTGAGGTGTTACATTATAATCTGTAGTCCACGGACTGAGGTGTTACATTATAATCTGTAGTCCACGGACTGAGGTGTTACATTATAATCACTATTGTAGTCCACGGACTGAGGTGTTACATTATGATCTGTAGTCCACGGACTGAGGTGTTACATTGTGATCTGTAGTCCACGGACTGAGGTGTTACATTATGATCTGTAGTCCACGGACTGAGGTGTTACATTGTGATCTGTAGTCCACGGACTGAGGTGTTACATTATGATCTGTAGTCCACGGACTGAGGTGTTACATTATAATCACTATTGTAGTCCATGGACTGAGGTGTTACATTATGATCTGTAGTCCACGGACTGAGGTGTTACATTATAATCTGTAGTCCACGGACTGAGGTGTTACATTATGATCTGTAGTCCACGGACTGAGGTGTTACATTATAATCACTATTGTAGTCCACGGACTGAGGTGTTACATTATGATCTGTAGTCCACGGACTGAGGTGTTACATTGTGATCTGTAGTCCACGGACTGAGGTGTTACATTGTGATCTGTAGTCCACGGACTGAGGTGTTACATTATGATCTGTAGTCCACGGACTGAGGTGTTACATTGTGATCTGTAGTCAACGGACTGAGGTGTTACATTGTGATCTGTAGTCAACGGACTGAGGTGTTACATTATGATCTGTAGTCTACGGACTGAGGTGTTACATTATGATCTGTAGTCCACGGACTGAGGTGTTACATTATGATCTGTAGTCCACGGACTGAGGTGTTACATTGTGATCTGTAGTCCACGGACTGAGGTGTTACATTATGATCTGTAGTCTACGGACTGAGGTGTTACATTATGATCTGTAGTCCACGGACTGAGGTGTTACATTATGATCTGTAGTCCACGGACTGAGGTGTTACATTATAATCACTATTGTAGTCCACGGACTGAGGTGTTACATTATAATCTGTAGTCCACGGACTGAGGTGTTACATTATAATCTGTAGTCCACGGACTGAGGTGTTACATTATAATCACTATTGTAGTCCACGGACTGAGGTGTTACATTATGATCTGTAGTCCACGGACTGAGGTGTTACATTGTGATCTGTAGTCCACGGACTGAGGTGTTACATTATGATCTGTAGTCCACGGACTGAGGTGTTACATTGTGATCTGTAGTCCACGGACTGAGGTGTTACATTATGATCTGTAGTCCACGGACTGAGGTGTTACATTATAATCACTATTGTAGTCCATGGACTGAGGTGTTACATTATGATCTGTAGTCCACGGACTGAGGTGTTACATTATAATCTGTAGTCCACGGACTGAGGTGTTACATTATGATCTGTAGTCCACGGACTGAGGTGTTACATTATAATCACTATTGTAGTCCACGGACTGAGGTGTTACATTATGATCTGTAGTCCACGGACTGAGGTGTTACATTGTGATCTGTAGTCCACGGACTGAGGTGTTACATTGTGATCTGTAGTCCACGGACTGAGGTGTTACATTATGATCTGTAGTCCACGGACTGAGGTGTTACATTATAATCACTATTGTAGTCCACGGACTGAGGTGTTACATTATGATCTGTAGTCCACGGACTGAGGTGTTACATTGTGATCTGTAGTCCACGGACTGAGGTGTTACATTATGATCTGTAGTCCACGGACTGAGGTGTTACATTGTGATCTGTAGTCCACGGACTGAGGTGTTACATTGTGATCTGTAGTCCACGGACTGAGGTGTTACATTATGATCTGTAGTCCACGGACTGAGGTGTTACATTGTGATCTGTAGTCCACGGACTGAGGTGTTACATTGTGATCTGTAGTCCACGGACTGAGGTGTTACATTATGATCTGTAGTCCACGGACTGAGGTGTTACATTATGATCTGTAGTCCACGGACTGAGGTGTTACATTGTGATCTGTAGTCAACGGACTGAGGTGTTACATTATGATCTGTAGTCCACGGACTGAGGTGTTACATTATGATCTGTAGTCCACGGACTGAGGTGTTACATTATGATCTGTAGTCCACGGACTGAGGTGTTACATTGTGATCTGTAGTCCACGGACTGAGGTGTTACATTATGATCTGTAGTCTACGGACTGAGGTGTTACATTATGATCTGTAGTCCACGGACTGAGGTGTTACATTGTGATCTGTAGTCCACGGACTGAGGTGTTACATTATGATCTGTAGTCCACGGACTGAGGTGTTACATTGTGATCTGTAGTCCACGGACTGAGGTGTTGTGTTACATTATGATCTGTAGTCCACGGACTGAGGTGTTACATTGTGATCTGTAGTCCACGGACTGAGGTGTTACATTATGATCTGTAGTCCACGGACTGAGGTGTTACATTGTGATCTGTAGTCCACGGACTGAGGTGTTACATTATGATCTGTAGTCCACGGACTGAGGTGTTACATTATGATCTGTAGTCCACGGACTGAGGTGTTACATTGTGATCTGTAGTCCACGGACTGAGGTGTTATATTATGATCACTATTGTAATCCATGTTGACATGTGAATAGTATGTTTTATTTCTGTTTCCTAGGCAGCCATATTGGAGTCGTTTCTTATTGCAATGGTGTGTGGATTCTTTACACTTATATCACCTATCTACTACCCGATCTCATGGATGGCAGGTAAAATACCTTCTACACCTGTCTACTTTTCAACCTCGTGTACTCACTGACCTATTTTTCCTGATTATATCTCTGATAGTGTTGTACAAGTCGTTACTTTTACTCGTTTGGTACAGAATGTAATTTTGCCTGTAAATTAGTTATCTGCTGTTGTTATCTGAGTATTCGTAATGATGTGTAATTGCCAGCTTATAACTTATCATTTCTATGCTACATACCTCATGTAATAATATCAAGCCAACAACAAAGTTTAGTAAATAGAGATTATCCATTTCGATAAATATTTTAATACATTGTTGAGTCTATGTTATTTTTCCATAACCAGTAAATCAATTTTTGACGATATAACCATGATGTAGATTAAGTATCGGAGACAATAGTGATTTGTGTTTACTGTATCGTTGTTTATTTTTTTTTTGTTTTTATTTTTTTCAGACGACAAATTTTTGTACGAAACCAATATCTTCTACAGGAACTTTTACATGATACTAGTGGTCAGTCTACAACGATCGAAATACTACTTTGCATGGAAATTAGGTAAGTTTTAGCATGTACAATAGTAAGTCTTAACCGGTGACATATACAAAAAAGTACAAGGAGAATTAGACCAGGAATGCCGGATGAGTAAACGTCTTCTGTTTCATCGTCGACACACACCATGCTAATATTTGCCCATCTAATGTCACGTGGAAACAAAGTATACAACAACAGAACTAACAGCCAAATTAACGAGCATCATACACGTCTAGCTTCATGTCAAAGAAATAGAATAGTCTCCAATAAGATCACTATGACGACCATAAAACTTCCTCATAATTTTCACCAGCCTGTATCTTTGGAATGGGAGCATACCTTTGAATATCGAATATAGAACTTTGACCTGTATGAACAGTAAATAAACAATTTAAAAGATTCCGTGCTACTCTAACTCGCGGAAATTAAAACCCACAATCAGTAATTATCTTGTGCTTTGTAATAAATAGATTTTTCTATGGCTTTCTATCAATTTATTGATAAACAGATAACAAATCTGTTAATGACTTATTATCGTTTGCAATAAATCATGATGTTTCCAAATATTTCTGAAATTGTTAGTTCGGCATATTAATTATCGGCATTTCTCTTCATGTCATATCATTACGTCCCAAACTGATATTATAAATAAGACATATATAGGAGTAGAACAGGTTTATTCATCGTCGGAGCGAATGTTTTACTGTGGCCAGAGACAGGTCATATAAACTCGCAAAACCTTGAGTTTGTTTTTTTGCAACTTTTGAAAAAAAAAGGTTTATTCCAATAACTCGTTGTGTCATCTCTATTTATGCTTTACTGTATATCTGATCAAGTGATTTAAAAACGTGCTGAATGATTAAAGAAAGAACGCCTTCTAGTTCTTAGCATGTGAGGAAATCAGAATGAGAGTAATCAGCATGTTTCTGGTACCACAGCTCACTGAGCAGTTATATGTTTATCTTAATTAATTAGATAATTGATCTATTACCAGGTGAGATGTCCAACCTTGGAGCAGGACTTGGATTTAGAGGATATGATAAGGAAGGAAACGAGAAATGGGATTTGCTGACCAATATAAAAATATGGAAGTTAGAGGTGGGTTTAGTTAATTCTGATATTATCAGACATTAGAGAATATGACTTTTGTCATATTAATAAGCTGTTCAATCGCTTAGAGGTCTTAAAGGTTCATTTATACCAGAAACAAAGCACTGTTTAGTATAGGATCAATATTGACTACATGTGAGACGATAACAAAGGAGGACAGAATGACTCCAGTTCCAACCGTGCACAATGACCAGTATACCTGTGTTACAACTTTTTCTTCTTCTTTTCTATTTGTATGTGTGTGTTTTAATCTTGGATGGATGAAATATCTATCATGATTTTTCTCCTGTTTGACTATAACATTGGTTCGACGTAAGTGTGGGCATGGTGGTCCAACATTCTGTTTATACACTGTCCTGATATAGATCATATAGACATAAAGGATCTTACATGAGTGTCAATGTATTATGGAATTTATTGAACGAGTTTAATAAATTCCATAATACATTGACACGAGTGTAAGATTCTATTTATAACATAACCAATTAAAATGGAAAAATCGCCAGAAAACTACGATTTACTTCCACTATGCAATCAACTGTTTCTATATAGGTCAAAACCAACGCACAGCAATCATAGTTTTATCCATCCGTGTTGCAAATAGTACCTTTTTTCATTGATTGAATGAGAGATTGTTATGTTCCAAAATAATATCGACAACGTAAAGCATTTAAATTCTATTTAATGCCAAAATAACTTTTAAAAATCACAAAAACAAAAAAAAAAAAAACAAAAACAAAAACAAAAAAATCTTCTGGAAATTCACTTGATATTGGTAACGTGACGTCACCTCGCCTCGTCATCACGGGTCATCAGGTTCGGCCTTACTGCTCCACTTACTGAGAGTCACTGTCACTTTTAATGATAGCTTTTCGGATTCGCTTAGGTGGTTTTTGTGAATTACAAACTTTGCTCAACGTATTCTTGTTTGATTGATCCTGTATAAAATTCCCTACCTCATCTTCTCTGACTGAAACGAAACGACTTGGTTCAGGGGCAAGAGGACCGCCATCCGGAGCGGTCGTCTGCTGTTGGGAGGGATCTACCACCTTTTCAATACGATTGCGCTCAAGCTCAATTTGAAAGTCAATCCCACACAATTCAACATTATAAGATACAGTAAACTCCCGTGGGATTATCTCCTTCACCACACCAGTCCCCTTCTTATCAATAAAAACTGTGTCGCCAATGTTGATCTGGTCCGCCATATTTTACTACAGTTTGTTGTCGTAGTAAATAAAAGTAGTACGCGCGCGGGCATATGAATACGTTCCCACGGTTTTGACCAATTAGCAACAGACATCATTGTTGAAATAATGGCAATGTTCAGAATGTAAATATGTACTTTATGTCCTTCTGAAATTATCAGATATATGACAATTACCACATATATTGAGTTAAAGGGTTAGTGCATCTCCTCTCTATTTAATTTTCTTCAACAGTTTTTATTTTCGCCTCTTAGTTTTCAAAATTTAGTCCCCTATCATCATTGACAAGTCCTAGAAGACCAACACAGCTGTATGATACAGTTTAATTCATTATTTGGATCTACCTATTTAAATTCCTATTGAAAGGAGCTATTCTCATGTCGGTCTGTTAAAATCTTCCTCTAGCACTTAACGTGAAAAGTCCTTAAGACGACAATAGCTCATGCGTGAAAAGTCGCGTCTGTTTACCTCCCCATCTCTCTTAGTCTCTGTCTTTATACATATACACACCTTTCGTTAGAGATATTTCATGAACTCTTTAAAAAATTTAGTCCATATCCATATCATCTCACAAAGTCAACACATGATTATATTTTAGTGGTGAACGATTAACTCTAAAGGTCAAAGGTCATTTTGTCACATTGTGTACAAGATTATAAGATGAGGGAGTGAATGTTATATCTATATAAGCTCCTTCTCACTTTTCTATTCTGTCCCGTTCTGTGTCTGTCTATTTAAAAAAAATGCTTATTTTGCAGACGTCTACAAGTTTGAAAGTGTTCATAGACTCTTGGAATTTAAATACTGTGATCTGGTTTCGACGCGTGATATATGAACGGACCCCTCCCTCTGTGAAGACTCTAGCTGTGTTTGTATGTAGTGGCGTCTGGCATGGTCTTTATCCCGGGTATTACGTCACATTCTTCTCTACGGCATTTGCCGTCATGGCTGCCAGACTGGTATGTTTTTGCTGTGTTGTTCGATATTGGACATCACTCGTTAAAAAATAACTATTATGATTTTAAAACACACTCTGAAGAATGAACATTGTATGTTGAGGTTTTCCTTTTCATAAATTAAATTTCATTTCATTACAGAATATTGTGTCTGAATTCGATGCGTCTTCAGGTCACCTGAGCCTCATGGTGACCTATTGCCTATTAATTTCTTTTTTTAACCTCTCCTGGAATGCCCTGAACCAATCCCGATGAAATTTTAATGAAACATTTGATGTCCAATGGTGAACGAAATTTATAGATCATATGGTCCTCACGTAAGAGGGGCAAAATGGGCGGGGTCAATTGTGGTAAAAAATTAAAAGATCTTCTCAGCACCTATATATATATATTTCACAACCCCGGGGTCTCACATTTCCGCCTGGGGATGGGGTGAATTTAAACATTGGGTGTCCCTTGTTTCTTTTTCCGTTGGAAATAATGCAACCTAGCTGGTTTTTTTTAGTATAAGATGACAGTATTATGACCTGCGCATATCGGCCCTGGTTGTCCCGATGGTGCTGATGGGCGGTGCCAAAAGGTTAAAATAAAGCAAGTCCCTATTATCTTCCTCTCAACAACCAGATATGTTAGAATCAAAGGGGCTCTATATAGATGGAGAGTTCTCAAGTCGCTTTACCAAAATTTATAAATTTGTTACCGCAGGATCTCACATTTTCTGTTGGCAAGGAGGGGAATTTTACTATTGTTTATATAAGAAAATCACATTTTGGACATAACTTGTTTACTTTTCAAAGGAATTATTTCAAACGTTTACAAGATGACAGTTTGATGTTATGACCATATTGTCCCTAGCTGTCCCGAGGGGCAGATGAGCGGGGCCAATAGGGGCGAATCGACTCAAATTTCAAAATCATCGACTCAAAAACCAGAAATGATAGAATCAAATGCTATTTATAGATGAAAGGGTCTGAAGTCACTTTACCAGAATTATGACATTTTTTACATCAGGGTCTCACACTTCCCCTTAGGAAGGAGGTAAAGTTTATTATAGTCTTGATAAGAAAATAACACTGTTGGACATAAGTTGTTAAATTTCAATTACAATTGATTGAAAATCCATTAGAATTAGAAGTATAAGATAACGGCTTCATGATTAGACATACTGACCCTGGCTGGCTTCCAGGGGTAGATTGGCGGGGCCAAAATTTGACTCAAATTTCAAAAATCTTCTTGGCACCACCAAAATATGGTAAAATCAAATGGACGGAATGATAATAAGACGCTTTATCGAAATTGTTATGTTCATGATCCTAGAGTCCCACATTATCCCCTTGGGAGGGGAAAAAGTTTACTTAACTTTATGTAGGAAAATTACATTTATAAAGTTAAATAACCTTCAATTCAAACTTAAAATCCTTAGATATTGAGATGGCAGTTTATGCTGTGTACAATTTACATTTGCATTACATGTGCAATGCAGTTAAATTTATTTTACTTTGTTAGCAGAGCAAATTCTCTGGCATTTAGGTTAGGTAAGCTTTAGGTCCTTGGGCCTCTTGTCTGTCATAAAAAGGGATGTATCATGATTCATTACTAAGTATCTGTTTATTTCAGGTGCGAAGAAACATCCGGAACTATTTCCAGACATCTGAGTCAAAGATATTTTTCTACGATGGTGTAACATTTATAGCTACGAGATTTGCCGGAGCTTATCTGTTGGCCCCTTTCTGTTTATTAGAATTCACAGCAAGCATCAAACTATTGGTGTAAGTAGATCAGTGTAAAATTTGACTCGCTTTTTCAAGTTTTGGTCCGAAGCCAAAATTTCTCTTCTTTTAGTCTTGCACATGACATTCTATTTTTTGTTTGCGTTTGGCATTAGTCTGTGGAATTATAAATCACAAACGATCGATTTTTAGTTGAAGAATAATTACCGGGATGTGTTTTACTATTTGTACTATTCAGTATGAAATGTCAATTTAATTCAAGATAGAAATGGAAACAAAGCGAAAGAAGCCTAAAAGTAATTTGGAAATTAAAACCTATGACAGATACTATTTGGATAATTGAATTAGCCAATATTTACATGGCGGGTGTCGGCGATGAAGCAGAAAACACTTAATCTTCCGAAACACCTGGTCTTATTCTGATACTTTTCAAGAGTCTCCATGTAAATCTTACTATTTTTCACATTGCCCTTATTCTATCTAATTTGAGTTAAAATTATTATTATGTTGACAAGTTGGTTTTCTCTTGTTATTTTTAGTTATTATACTAACAATATGAGAAAAATATAACCACTTCTCGACAATAATTCATTAATTTATTATTTTGCAGATCTGTTGGATTTCACGTGCACATATTGTCCGCTATAGCGATTTTATGGTTTACTTTCATTAATCCATCCAGGAAGAGAAAGGAATGAGGATTTAGTTTTGTGTGTATATATGCGTTGCAAATATTTCATAATTTCATTATAAGTTTAATAAAAAAATACGTCAAACACAATAACAAATGTCTTGTTTTATGTAGACATCTATATATTTATAACCTATTATGTTATAAGTGTAATAATTCCCATTAAAAACTTTGCTTTGACAAGCATGTAGTATGACCTAGCCTAGATCTGGCTGAAGGTTTCCATAGTTTCCACTGTGATGCCATGACGTCATGGTGTCTTATCTATTCCGACGACATCAAAGAAAATATATATATATATATATATATATATATATATATATAGAGAGAGAGAGAGAGAGAGAGAGAGAGAGAGAGAGAGAGAGAGAGAGAGAGAGAGAGAGAGCGGATGTTTGAACAACTGTTCAAATCCGCCTCGGTATACAGCTATGTATAACGATTACTTAGAAAACCAATGATTTGTCATATCTAGTTGAAGAATATGAATGCAGATACTTATAACAATGTATGTTCTTAGACCTTATCTCGAACCGAACAGTGCATGTAAGATGAGCTCTGGTTGGTCGAAACCTCTTCGCTCCCAATTTCTACTTGAGGAACATTTTTCGCCACACTTTGTAGCACAAAGCATCGATTGACTAAGGGAAGCATTGTGACTGAACTTCAATACAGAAAAAAGTGGAAGGATACATCAGGGGTACTACCAGAGTGAAACGGAGGTCAGTAAACTAGGAGATCCGAATGGGAGAGAAAAAAGTGGAGAATCTGGGTATCGATCGAATGCGGCTATCGGGAGCTCGAAGTGCAATCTATTTTTAGATGGACGGGTTTATTGTTACGCTCTACTGCGTGGAGGTATATTTCTTCGTTTGAATTTCCCGGGTTTTTTTAACTTCTGCGATAGGATTTTTATTACATTCCAATGAAGCATATCAGCTTTACATATTTAAGCACAAAAGGCAGTCATTATCAATTTTAACCTGCCGATTTCTTGTAATGTCATTGGACAAATGATATACACATGTGCTGATTGTTTTCTATACATTCTCAGTAATTCAAGAGCGTAACAATAAACCCGTCAATCTAAAAATAGATTGCACTTCGAGCTCCCGATTCCTTAGTTTCATCTGTGCGATATATCGTTCCTGCTACAGAGTTATCGTTCTTGTAAGCAGGTATCGTTCACTTCTGTCATGGGGCGAGACTATTATACATTGCCTTAATGTTGTAATTATCCTGGGAAAATTGGGAGATTTGGGATACCAGTGAAATTTTACAGACTTCCTAACGAAAAGACGGTTCGGGGACAATGGCTATGTGCGATCAGTCGAAAAAAAACTATAAGCCGTCGTCTTACACAAGGGTTTGTTCTGATCATTTCACACATGGCGTTGGACCTACGAAACATGACTCAGACAAGGTACCGACTCAGCATTTGGCTCAGAGACGTAAACACACACACAATGAGGAAAAGCCAAATCAACAGGGTGACAAAGCAGTCGTATTTTTTTCTGACCTGACTACGAGATTGAAAGTACATGTTATTGTGAAAAACTACGACTTGACTTGAAAAACTAGTCAATGACAATTTCATAATAAATGATTGTAGTAAGCAGCTAACTTCTGAAATTATACATTATACATAATTGTCTGCACAGTAATTACTGGTAATAGCTAAGTTAGGTTAATTATTGTTATTGTTGTCTGTGAGTGTGATATAATATTGATATTAGACATTATGTATTTTCTTAAATGATCATGACTATATACTATAGGCCTATTTACCAAATATGCATGGAAACTATCATTATTTATTAAGATTTATTATTATGAATTCCATGTTAAAGTTACTCTGTAGTTAGCTGTGAATACGTTTGACCCAAACTGTAAAAATGTGGAATAACTCACCAGAGGAAGTTGTACTTGCACTCCACGAAACTACAAGTAAATTTGTTGAAAAGCAGACAAAATACCATTTCGATCGCACGTAGCATAAATCACAATTGTCACCGATCTGGTTGGTCATCAGTTTATGAATATATCCGTCTTTATAAAAATTGAAACCCCTAATAAACTGTCTGTAGCAATGCATTTTGCCTTGTCCTCCGTCCGGTGACTGCTGTGAATAAGGTAAGTTTCAACATCTTTATGTGTAATCATTGGTAACAGACTTTTTCGCTGTTCGAACCAATATCTAAGTCATCAAAATTTGGAATCTTTCTATCAGTGTAGTATAGCAAGTAGGCTTACTTTCTTCGTTTAATTCACCGCTATCACTTGTTGAAATTTCGAGCGTAACCTGAATATAGTCAAAGGCCCTTCGAGCAAGAATGGTTTTTTTTGCCAGTTGTTTTAAGTTTTTTTCCCATCAGAAATGTTTGTATCTCACTTTTCTTTAATTAAGAATGTCTTCATACGTTGTTTTGGAAGAAAACATATCCATCCACAACCAAACTTGAAAAATGCCGCTAGGAGAACATATAAACCGGAAGTGAACATACCGGCGGGGAAGTACGATAACTCGGTAGCAAGCGGCATAACTCGTGTTAGTGAAAAGACGGAATAGCCGCATTCAGGAGATATTCGGGCATCGTAGACCAAGGGTCGTTCCAAAACATTCCGAATAAAATAACATTAACCATTCATGTGTAAAAGACAGAGATATTCCAACAAATTGGAAGTCACCTGCAAAGGAGGTGAGAAAATGCTCTAATCAGTAATTTTAGCAAACGCCGTGTTGTGACGTAATTTTTAGACACCATTATCGAATGTTTTACTTCTTATAGCTTTATTTTTTTGTAATCGCTGTTACTGGATGGATCTTTGTTAGTGTTCACTTGACGGTCCACCCGGGTTCCTAGTTGCGCCCCTTTGATTTTAGACAGATCACGTAAAGACAACCGCCGACGGACACCCAAGTACACGACCACTAATGGAAAAATTCCAGGAGAAAACGACAATGTGGTTTTTACTTTATCGACGATATCTCAGGGGCGTAGCTTCCATAGAAAGAAAAAGCCCGGGTACACAGATATAAAAATCCGTGCATAGAGTATGTCGGACAAAATTACAAAACTAAGGTTGAAAATAGATATCTAATATTTTTGATAAATGAAAAAATATCAATAGAAAATTGTTGAATAACTAGGCTTAGTGCATTGCTTTCCGGAACCTTATACACGTCATACTATTCTACTTCTTACCATCATTTCAACGTTTCCGATTATAATGTTGTTAAAGTGCAAATTTTCAAAATGAGCAAGGCTTCTGGATTACGGGCGTTGATCGACAATTTTTTAAAACAAAATAAAGTCGAATCGAGTGACCACACTAAAAGTGACACATCAAAGACCGGAGGTACATATAACCAAGATACGGAAATTGTCATGGACATTTTCGCGAAACAAAATAACAGAAAGTTAGATTTTATTTAGTCAGGAGTTGAAGTTTGTTGTTAAATGAATAAAAAAAAACTGTCCCAGAAAACAATTCAAAAAACATTTTTGAAATCGTGAAATTCATTTTCCGTCGGGGGCCTTCGCCAACCTGATCACCCACCAGGGCTCTGCCCTGGACCTGCTGGGGGCCTAGGCGGCCCTCAGACCCCTCGCCTAGGCTTACACATTTCTACTGGGTTAGCTACGCTCTGTATCCGCCATGTAAATCAAGATCAATCCAAGTACAGTCACCTATTTCTGCCAGTTGATCTGTAGCTCTTCCTGTTTTTTTTTTGTTTTTTTTTTTTGTTTGTTATTTTTTTTTGCAAATGTGTTGTCAGCTCCTAAACTAGTGTCGCAGTTTACAGAAATAGTTATGATGTCACGTTCTCAAATGGGAAGAAGGTATACAATAACGGAACCAACAGGGAAACAAACGAGGACAAAACACGTCCGGCTGTATTTCACACAAAGAAATATTCGTGATAACAGGCCTTTGAATATCGAACTCCACAGCGACATGTATACATATTTATTGGAGATGCAGGTCTGTTGCTATCTATGAATGGAAAAAATCACGAAGGTGGCCTTAATTCAAGGACCTTGAAACTTGACGTCATTCAAGTTAAAATGGTCCTCAACACCCGCGTAAAGCTTTATCAAATCCCTCTCAAAATGAAGCCGCTAGATGATACCGACAAACATGTCTTACTTCGAAATGAATAAACAGGGATATTTTTCAATAGAATAGCATCGTGTGTGCCATGATAAAAACTTAGAGTGGAGATTTCTAGACCAGAACGATAACTCTTTAAAATAATCACTACAAAAATATTAAATATCGCTCATCTGGTTTTGTCTGGCAGACATCAACCCTATGTTCTCAGGGTGTTAGTTAAAATATTTATGTGCCTTCCGCTCAGTGATGATCCAGACCAAATTTGGACAGAAACCTGACATTCCAACAGAAGAAGGATTTCAAAGAATTTGCTATATTTCACCTATTTGCCCCCCTCCTTCCCTTCCCCACCTCTCCATGGCTCCATGAACCCGAGACCCGCGGGTTATACAACACTGAATGCCGTCACCAAAAAATGCGTCTGCTGAAATTTTGACAATTTCCCCGAAGGATGCTTCTGACCAACGTCGAGTAAAATCACAATGGCGAGGGGTGATGGCAGGAGGTGAGGGAGCGATATCACGACATCGCCTCGGGCTCTGTGCGAGAGAGCGAAATGGTCCTAACCTGCCGTCATATCTCGGCAAAAGTCTGGCATGAAATTAACAAGAACTACTGATGGCAAAACGGAAAGCTTAATAAGTGGATTTGTCGTAGTATCTATCTAAATTATGTGCTGATATTCCTTCTAGATTTCAATTACATCCAAATATTTACATGAGTTTATATCAAGGAATTTGTCGGGTTTATAGAATTGGCACGAGAGTCTAATATTATCACACTCTTCAGAAAGTTGTATGGATGATTTTTTAAAAAATCATATTTACATTTGTCCTTGATTATTTTGATAAATACTCCCATGTCAATTTTTCCCTCCAGACACCCAATAAC